CAGTGATCAACTAATATCGAATAATCAGCTGCCTATCAATAATGCGAAAATTTGAATTATATATTTACTGAAAAAAATTTATTTTTTAATTATGGGACACTAACACACTCATTTAACAATATTTCATTGGGTAAATTCTATTTATTAAAAAATTTTTTTTTTCTTTATTATCATACAAACACAAACAAATGTCAATTCCAAAAATATAGAGTATTGCAACTGTGCGAAAGTCAAAAGGTTTCACCATAAGTTGAAACTGGTATTAGTATTGAATTTTGACTTTTGATTTAGTTTCGGCATGTAACTTTTTGACCTTGCCTCTTCAAAATAGTTTTGGCGACCAACATTAATACAAACATAAAACAATTTTCAAAAACATACTTGATGAATATTTTAACAATTATTCGATAGAAAAGTAGAGTTGTATGTTGGACAGATTTGTGTTAAAGTGATTGTTAAAGAAACAAGATACACGATCTATGAAGCTTCCAGGTTTGTAAATATATCAATTTTCTTTTTTATTTACGATCAACATCCTGCGATCATACATGAATCTATAACGCACATAATGATATTAATATTGTATTCTCCTGCAACCATTAAATATAGTAGTAATAAGAATCTCATTGAAAAAAAACCAATAATATAATAATATTTATAAGAAAAAGAAAATAAAAGAATATACTTCAAGTATGTCGAAAAGATTGTCAGAAGCTTCATTAAAAAAGTATAATAATGAAAATATTAAAGTTGGTAATAATAATAATAATATATAATACAAGTTTTTTGTTCTTTACTATCAAAACCTTTACCCGATATAAATAATTCACTATCTAGCAATTTTACCGTATACTACTCACCACCACCACTACTTATACTTCTGCCATTCCTTCCTCTTCTTCTATTTTTACTACCAATCAAAATCAATTAATGACAGTTGATGATTTAACTCGAATTCTCAAAGATATAAAGGTTAGGAAACAAGTGCGTCATGATAATGTTGAATTTAATCATAATTTTAATTCATCACTACTGACAACATCAATTTAAAAAACAGGACGCAGTTTTTATGTTGTTTATGATGAAACAATTATTTATATAGAACATTTTTACAAAATAGAAGCACAATTCATTGACAATTTCGCCCTAATTAAAACTTTTTATTGATGATACAAACTAATATGTATGCTGTATATGATGGTGATTGAATTAGGTGGCGATGGATTGGTTGAAAAAAACGAAATCAAGTAATCCCGACTTTTGTTATTGGATGAAGCCTAATCATCAACATTGGTAAATATTTTTTTAAGTATTTGTGTTGGAATTATTAAACTAAATGGATATATTGATCCTTCATTCGAATGTTTGTTGAAATTTCTGCAACTGGTTCAAATTTCATCTAATCTATATCCTAATTAATTTATTTAAATCGTTATCCAAAAAATGGTGGTCAATTTATTCGGTAGGGGGAAGAAAATCTATAAATGTCATAATTGCATTACGCAATTTTGACATGTATCAAACAAAATGTAAGCTTTTAAAATCACATATCCGGTCAACAGGTACATCGTCCAATTTGCCAAGTAATGATAATAATAATACCAAGACCATACAGAAATGAGATTTAAAGAACCACATTCAGGTAAGAAAATTGGAAAATAAACCTTTGATAATTTTAATCCGATCCTCTTTTCCATGTAGGATAATGGATCTATCCAAATAGTGTTGTGGAGAATTTTAGTGGACAAGCTTCTAATTTGGTTCCCTTCATTTTGTGCATTGTGTGCATGTGTGTATGCATGTCTGCTTCCCGATTGCATACAATTACAAGTCATAGCATGATTTTTTATAAATTGAGGACAGGTTCAACCTTCGAACTTTCATTGTTATTGTTACATGAATTGTTAAACTCCATACAAAAATATATGATACAAAATAAGGAATGGGCTTGGCACAATTTAAATTACGCTATAAAATTTCATCAATTCCCTTCGAAATCATTGCAACAACAAAACAATTATATAATAATAGTCGAAAAACCAATACTTATCCCTAGATTGGAAAGGGATGACTTGGGAATGAATGAGATAGAAATTTGGTGCCATTAACCGTTTATTAAATGGAAAATCTTTAATGGGCTTTCAGCTGCCATAATGAACAAGAAAAGACACTCAAAATGCACACTTGGACATACAGCACAGCACTGAGAGAGCATAATAACAACGTGGGAAAAGTAAAAAAGCCAGATATTATCAGACATTCCCAAGATTCATAATATTAATGGCCGTTATTGATGAATATGCAAGGTTATTTATTATCTTTACAATAATTCAAAAATTTCTTGTTAAATCGCACGATAAGAATTATTTTGATTTATGAAAAATTCTTATTACTTTAACAATCATAAATTACCTGCCTCCACCTTTTTATCAGAAATAGAAACTTTATTTAGAATTTTATACTCTTTCCGAATTAAAATAAAAAAAACACTGTAAAATACATATCTCAATACATTGGAGCATAATACCATCTCCTAGAACCACTTCTCTTATTTTTTAGAGAATTTAATGTGTATATATAAATTACGAGTTACTAAATTTTCACTATAAAAATAGCACACACCAAAAGTCATCAAAACCTACATCCTTTTTCATCATCCAAATAGTCGAAGATTAGAAATTTTGATTTACATAATATGTATATTTTGTTAATGTAAATTGTTTTACTTAACAAATATTCTCTCAGCTCAAAGGTTCATTCCAAAAGCATTTCAACTTCTTCCGAATGGGTTTGCCAACTATCAATAAAATTAATACAATGAATGATTGCATAAATATACATAACATTTATATTAAAAATAGTGATAATAATATTTAGTATTTACGTCTAAAGGAGTTTTTCGAAAAAAAATATTATGAAATTTTGGTTTTAAAAATACTGGCATTTCTAAAAAAATAATAGTTCATTAAAGAGAGATGGCCTTTAAATTTCCTAGTTCTTTTATTTATAAAAAGGAAATTAGTGACATTTCTAAATTCAATACATTACTATATATTACTATCACTAAATTTACTTTTCGCGACTAAATTTTTCAATTCAACGCATCCTAAGTCCTGATTGGTTCCCTTTGACACGTGATATAATTACATGTTATTATGTAAAAAAACGCGATTTTTTTAAAAAAAGTAAATATATCAAAACAAAATATAATGGAACTTAGCACTTTCTACAATCAAACCCTAAACCTTTCCTGTTTCTCGCCAAACTCTAAATATATTGCAACGGTTTTACAAAGTAAACTCATCATTCGTGAAGTTCCAACTTTAAAAATTTTGTCAACAATAAGCAAACCAAACTTTAAAATACAAGAAATATCTTGGTCACCAAATTCAGAATATGTTATGACAGCATGTTATAAAACCGGAAGTATTTCAATATTTAGTGTAAATTATAAAGATTGGATTTTCCACATTGAAGATTGTATAATTGGTTTAGCTAATGTAAAATGGAGTTGGGATGGAAAATATATTTTATGTTTTTCTGATTTTGAGGTAATTAATTAACCATATTTTTCATTTTTCATGAAATTATTCATATTATTAATTAATAATAAATTTACATTATTATTATTACATATAGTATTGTATTACAATATGGTCATTAACTACTAAAAATACTTTCTATATCCAAAGTCCTAAATATTATGATAAAGGTAAAAAAGATTAATCGATTGATTAATATTTAATATATTTAATAATTTTAATCATCGATTTTATTTTTTTTTTTAGGATTTGATTTTCGAAAAGATGGACGTTATTTTGCACTTATAGAAAGACGTGAAGGAAGAGATTATATAGGAATTTATAATTGTGAAAAATCTTGGCTATTGACAAAAGTAAAACTATCATTAGATCATATATATTCATGTGTTGTTATATAATTAATTTGCCCATACACACAAAAAAAATATACATTGTAGCTTTTTCCAGTTGAAACGTCAGAATTAGAAAATCTTGCATGGTCACCAGATGGAAAATTTATTGCTGCATGGGACAAAATTATTAATGTAATAGATAATAAATAATGTTAAACTTATTTAAATTTTCATAACAATAATATTAAAACTTTTTTTTCATAGTACAAAGTTTTAATTTATACACCAAATGGAAAATTACATCAATCATTTTCTGCATATGATATAGGCTTAGGAGTAAAAACAGTTACATGGTCACCTACTTGCCAATTTCTAGCAATTGGAAGTTATGATGAAAAAGTATTTCATTCTTTTCTTCCTAAATGAGTCTTTTTAAAGAAAACAACATAAATGAATAATTAATGTGATTTTTATTTTAGATTCGACTTCTAAGTTATTATACTTGGAAAGAAGCTAAAGAATTATACCATAATGATCCAGACGATATTCAAGAACTAGTAAAAATTTATTATAAAAAGATTTTTATAATATATGATATTTCTATAAATTTATAATTAATATAATAATTTAAAGGTAATATGGAGAGAAACTTGTGAACTTGATGTAAAACTTGGTAAAACAGTTGTTAAATGTAAGGAAAATTATTATTATATATATAATATAATATATTTCATTCATACATGATTTAGAAAAAATACATTGATTTATTTTTAGATGAAACCATTGAAGAATCAATAGAGTTAGAACAAGTATTATCGGATCCTAAACAACCGAATCCAAAATTAGGAATTGGATTATGTAAATTTAATAGTGAAGGAAATTTACTAGCATCACAAAATGGTAATTGATTGATTGGGATGCATACACACATTCATATATATATATATATATGCATACACATATACCGTACTTATTTATTTATTTATGGCGGTAGATAATATGCCAAAGTGTTTATGGGTATGGGACCTTTCATTGATGAAGCCAATAGCTTTCATTATACAAGACTCTTCAATTAGACAATTCTTTTGGCATCCTTCTGAACCAAACAAACTTGTAATTTGTTGTGGTAATAATTATGTATATTTTTGGTCTGGAAATTCTACTGATATCATTGGGATGCCTTCTGGTAATATTAATTTTTTTAACATAATAATAAGTTGATAATTAATTAATTAATTCATAATTTTTTTTTCAGTAGATTTTCAGGTGACGAATATTAGTTGGTCATCAGATGGTAAATTTTTATTATTAATGGACAAAAGTTTATTTTGTTTGTTAACATTATAATAATAATAAAAGATTTCGGAATAAATATTTTTCTATTTGATCCATTTGATATAAACTTTTTTTTTATTTGTGAAAACATTCAAAACTCACTAACCAACTGTTTTCCAAAAAAGAAATTTTCTACAGACCATTCTTTTATATATTTATATATTATATTTTAAATGTTTTAATATTAATATAAATATAAAAATTAACATTAATAAAAATATTAAACGTGAAAATTTCAAATTTGATACCAAACCGTTCTTTGTCTTTGTATATACAAAAAAAAATTTTTGGTTAATAATAAATTATATGCGTAATCTCAAAAAATCTGTCCGCCATTCTTTTCGCCGGAGACTGTATAAGCATTATATTATCTTGTTTATTTGGAAGGTTATGCATATAATATTATTTTTTTTTTAGCAAAATAAACGTGAAAGTGATGTATCATCATCATTGTAAAAAAAATTTCGACAACTAAACAAATAAAAAGTGATTGGAAATAATGATTCAATAAAAATCTTAACTCACACTCAAGATTTATGTTCGGCGTTTTGATTGTCATCATTGTTGCTTGCCTTCAACATTAACGATTTCTGATGTTGGTTGTAGCTGTGATGGTGTTAGTTGTGGTAACGCCAATTGTGATAATTTTGGAATTTTGATTTTAAAGTCTTTGCTTCTTTTCTTTTTTTAGTTTCATTGGTTGAATTACTATCATCTATCATTTTTTTTGCAACCGAAGGATTAATTTTGATAGGAAATGTTGTCAAGGCTTTGTTACCTGACGTGGTATTGGAGTTAACAAAAGATGATGAATGAGTGATGTTACTTGTATCATTTTTAATCCGTTCACTAATTCTTGGTTTCCAGATGGAAAATTAATGTGACCGCGATTTAGTTTTTTTGAAATTGGTTCAAGGTGTTTTTCTGTTGTTTGTGATACTCATTAAAACTAATATCCATTTTTTCTTTTCGTTTCGGAAATAGATGATGGATTTTCCATCACAGTTCCATTTACCACAACAATAACATCTAATGGTAGTAAATGGTCTGGATTATACACGTTGCCCAAATCCCAAATGTGCAATGGGAAGCCTGTCAAAGATTTTTCAAATCTCAAGCTACTTTGGCATTCTGCCTCCCAACCAATAATAAATAATAAGTGCCCTTTGTTACATTGTATGCTTGTTGGTTAGGAAAGCAGGTTGATCTAGATTTTTTAATATAGTCTGGATTAATTCGTAATCCGTGAAACAACTGCGATAATAAAAATGCTAGATTGAAAACAATAATTATGCAAAAAGCAAATTAAAAAAAAAAAGGATTTTCTGACATTTTTTATGTTTTATTTCCAAATTATTAATTGTTCATAGATTTTGATAAAAAAAATTTTTTTTTGTAAAATTCAGATTTTTTGTGGTGGTTTTGTTGATTATTATATCCAATTTATGTGAATATATGCCCATGATTTAATTCCATGCGAAACATTTCTCTTGTTTTACGCCATAATAATAAAAGTAAGCATCTGAAAATCAAAAGAGCTAACGTCAATTAGAAAATTCTAGATTTTTGTGACGAGTTACAAAAATAGAATCCTTGCTTGTTCTGTTATGGAAATTTTGCTTAATTTTGAATTTATGGGAATTAAACAAATGTTGTACGACGACAAAATAAAAATACGTTACAATCCGTTAAAATTAAAAAAGGGCAAAATAAGAAGGTAACGATCCGTCTATAACATCAAAACAATTTTTTTCCATTACACAATATTTGAAAAGTAAAAGGTATAAAAGTGGCCGATATTTTTCTTTACTTACTATCAAAAAAAACACATACATTTGTTCATAAATCTCCTTTTTGTTTCTTTACATTTACAAATTATTAAAAAAAAATATTGAAGTAATTTCTTCATATTTCTTTCTCCTCACACTTTTCTTTGCACTATTAAATACATTCATTTTTATCTGGCGGGTGCGTTACAAAAAACAACAAAATAAAGAATAAAGAATGAACCATCTTGGCCATAATAATCAATTCGGTCATAATCTGATTATCAATTTTTTCCGTCTTAATCAATTCAATAATGACCACAACTACTTAACAAGAGATCAAATTTTGGTTATAGCAATTCAGCTTATAACAACTGCTATAGGAACGGCCGCAACAGCCACCACAGAGACAGCAATTATAATAATAATTGTCAATCTACTAATTGTTTCCTTGTTAGTTATAATAAAAACAAGATTTGATAATAATAACGACAATAATAATGATAATATAATTCCTTGATTTAATTAATTAATCTGTTATTTTTTCTTTTTTTCTCTTAATAATTATTATATATATCTAAATTCTTTTTTGTATTATGAAATTATTTTTTCAAAAATAAAACCAATAAGGCAATTGACCTTTCTCGTCGATTGTCTCCTTTTTCGGCAAAAAATTGTGTCGTGCATGCAACGCTTCGAATGAGCCAGTAAAATTCTATAATTTTTTTTCGATATACTAATATATACGTCAATGTGAATACCCACGTGATAAACATTTATCGTGCAATAATATTAAAAAATAATTATTATTATCCCTTAAATTCATCAAAATTCCGTCCATATATATGGACGGAATTTTGACTAAAAAAATATAATAATCAATTGAATTTTTTAATAGAAAAAAAAATGTAATTTATGCCTGTTAACTTATTTTGGTTTAAAAAAACTTTTTTGTTGGTAGCAACATAAACGCATTTTTAAAAATGCAAAAAATTTAATCAATTTTTGGAGTCGCTATTATCCGGAAAATTTACCACATCAATGTCACATGAATAAGTGTTAAATGTGTGATGAAGCATGTTACAATTAATAAGTTTACTTATAACAAAAAAGCCACTTTGTAAATAACAACTTCTGATTTTTATATATGGTAAAAATTTTGTATTTTTAAAAATCTTGAGGGAAATCAAAAAAATTAATGTAAAAAGCCAGTTTATGATGGATTTTATACTTGAATTTGGTATTATTGTGTACATTAGAGTTAAAGACATGCAATTTATAGACATGCAATTTATACCATACAATTTATAGTCATACAATTTAAAGTCTTACGATTTAAAGTCATGTAATTTATAGTCATACAATTCATAAAGTCATGTAATTTTAAATTTTTTTTTATTTACTAAGTATATTGAACTTGTATTATTTTATTAAAAAAAAAACAGACAAGTTTTATTAGTGAAAGAAGAGAAACAGGGCTTCAGATAATATATTAGTTCTTTTCAGAAATTCACTCTAAAGAATATTTTTGGAAAAGTGTATAAATGACTATATATTTAGGTTTTACAAGCTTATAGAAATGGTTTTCACAATTATTTTTCACTTAGTAAATATAATGCTCAGAGTTAAGATGAAGAACTTTTATTTGTGAAAAAAAAAGCGGAATTGTCAATTCCGTCCATATATGGACGGAATTTCGTTTAAGGGATAATAAATTCCAATTGGAACATTCCAATGAAGTTAACCAATGAAGTTAACCAATTACAGTGTCACACACACGAATTTTATTGGTCAATATCAATTGAAGATCTACATTGGAACATTCCAATAGCGTTACAATTGCACAACACTCACAAGATATTTATCGGCCCAAATACTCAAGAGTTCAAGATATTTTTTAAAAAATGTCCACTTCTTTTGCAAGTACTCCTGCTAATCTCTTGGTCAAAACAGTTGGTGATTGGAGCTCAACGATGTTAGAGATTTTTTGAAGAGTTTTCTCACATCAACAATGAAATCGAGACAATCGAGAAGAACGAGTCATTACCACACTGACAAAACATCACTGTCCAATATGTAAGGCAACTCCTTGTACACCATATTGTAAAAAACATCAAACTATTTGTAAAAACTGGGTCGCAAGAGAAAAAGAGAATTTGAAGATAGAAGGAAAAAATATTTATTGCTTAGAAATGTAATTAAAGTATTATTAATGATTGATTACAGTCATCATATCAATTATCATATCAAATGTATCATAAAGAATTTTAGGCGATCCTCATATATTTAACTATAGCATCAAGATTTTCAAGAAATTCTAAAAATCTATCAGCTCCCAAATATATACTTTACTTTTAAATTCATACATATTGTCTACTATGTCTACAAATTCTGGATCCTTGTCATTATTTGTTCTCGGAAAACTTCTGAAGACTTTCCTTAGTTTCTTCTTCTATGGTACTTGCAAATGGATTGCCTGTAGTCCATACTGGATACTCCGCAAAAAAATTCAATAGATAAGCACTTGAAGATTTCCAATCAATAAATAACATATTGTAATCTTTGTGCCATCCACTTAGTCTTAGGGATAGGTTGAGAAAGTTTGTTATGGCCTTCAATTTTCTAAGTGCGGTTTTCCAAACTTCTTAGTTTTAGGTTCTCTATTATTATTGAATGAAGATTATCATGCAAGTACAAATTTTTCTTTAGAAAAAATTTAGGATTTAGGTAACTAACATTCCATATACCGGATCTTTGAAATATTTTGCTTAAATAATATTAATTTCATAATGTAATTTTACAAACCTATTGATTCACGATTAGAAGTGAAGAATGATACGATTGTTACTAAAAGAGAGTTATTTAAAATTGTCATTTCTCTATCATTTTTTAATTTTAAAATTATAAAAAGTCACATGGTTCCAAGTCAAATTAAACTTAGTCCTGATTATACATGTTATCAAAATTAATTTGGCTTCGACTCAATTCCCAATTTTTAATTGCGTCTGACTCAATTATTTATATGTTTTCATGTGACTCAATTAATTGCGTCAAAAAGTCACCTGATTGAGTCAAATGATCTATTTCTACCACATGTATAGTCCTTTAGTTTAAATTAAAAATTCTGAAATCCATTCTCTTTTCCTGTAAAAACAGGTTCCTATATTTTATTTCTTTTTTGATTGTTGCCATGACATAATCGTAGCATTATCAAATGGGCCATGATTAATGTTTAAATTCCTTTATTAAAAAAAGTCAATTGCCATTATAACTGGTTACTAAAATCTAGAACCCTGAAATTTTTATGTATATTATTATTATTATTATTATTATATACTTGAGGTATATATTTTTACAAATAAAAAATTATAAAATTTAAAACCATACATAATCAATTGTAAAATTCTATTAGTTCTGAAAATAGTTCCTAATCCTAATGTGAATTTAATTCATAATATTATGTTCGTATCAAATAATGATTTGTGTTGTAGGTAATAATAGTAGTAGTGATAAGGTGGTATTGATTGTGTTTTCATCAATTACCATGTTAAAGATTTTCCGATATTCTAATGGATGATGATGATGACGATGAGTATGAGGATGAGGGTGACAAAGACGATGACAAAGACGATGAGGATGACGATGAGGATGACGATAAGGATGACGATAAGGATGAGGATGAAGATGAAGATGATGACAAATACGATGAAGATGAAGATGATGAAAAATATGATGAAGATGAAGATGATGAAAAATACGATGAAGATGAAGATGATGAAAAATACGATGAGGAGGATGAGGATGACAAATACGATGAAGATGAAGATGAGGATGACAAATACGATGAGGATGAGGATGAGGATGACAAAGAGGATGATGACATAGACGATGATGACATAGACGATGAAGATGAAGACGACAATGATGATGAGGACGAAGATGGAGATGTGGATGTTGATGAGGATGAGGATGAATATGGGGATGAAAATGATGATAACAACATTGACAACGATAATGGAACTGATGGTGACGACGATGATGATGAATTAATGGACGTAGAAACAGCAACATTACTAGTAGAAAGAATAGTGAAATCTTTACAATTATTTTTATGTCGCTTAACAAGTTTACTACTGTTTTCTTGATTTGTTTCGTCATCATTATCATAGTCTATTAGCCTTTTTATACTATTTTTACTGATGATGCCAGCAACAACATTATCACCACTACTACCACCACCATTGTGATTATTAACTGCAACACTTTCTCGATCGTTTTGGACCGGATCATTGCCTAACAATTCCTTCTCTTTTTTCTCCTTTATATTATTATTGTTGTTGTTAATGTGACCTCTTATTTTTTTAATACCATCATTATTAACATTATTATTAATTTTAGCAGAAGTTGTAGTGGCTGTGGTGGTACCTGATAACAAATATTCCAATGCTTGCTTTATAGCTCTGACCAAATGATTTTTCTTTTTGATTTGTTTTATTTGATCATTTGCTTCTTTTCTTGTGAATATTTTAAGATTTTTCTCATTAATCCATCCACTATTATTATAATTATTGATAAATAAATTAATTAATTATATTTGAAATTTGGGAATTTATCATCATTACAATAGATATATAAATGAAACGTACTAGTTTATTGAGCCAAAGAATTTAATGCAATCAAAATCATGCCTCTTTGGCCTCTTTTTAAGCAAAATCTCGGGTAAATCCTCATCATTTACGATCTGTATTACGCATATGTGTTGATTGTCTGTTACTTACTATACATGATTTTTTTTGGATAAAGATGATTTAAAACTTACCAAACCAGGCCACCAAAGGAATTCTTTTAATTTAACGAAAACAATGGTACCTACTTCAAATGACATTTTTAAAAAAAAAACTATTCATATATATATAGAATGAATAACACACTAATTCAAATAGAATATTATAACTAATTTAAAAGATTAAAATGTAGTAGTACGCGTAAAATATTAATAATCTCATTTTTTGGTACTACCATGCATGATTATTTTGATTTTTTTATTTGATGATAAAATCTTTATTAAAATTTTATATTAAAAATATGTAAGTGTGGAATTAAAGATTTTATGTGGTGATTTTATGTGAAGATAAAAAAATATTAATTGTATTGTATTGTATGATGATGACGGTGATGGTAATGACCTAAAGAAACCAAATCTCAAAGAACCTATAAAAAATTTTAATTAAACCTGCTCCTTGTAAGGCTGCAAAATCAAATAAAAATTCAAGATCGTATAAAAAATAAGATTATTATAATTTTTAATAGATAAATTATTATTAAAATCATTACTCATTAAAATTATTAATTACTAGACACGACAAACATGATTATTGAATTTCATCTTCAATAAGAACAAAAACAAAACAACATCAAACTTTTATTGCAAAACAAACAAAGAACTTCCAACTATTTTACCAATGCCGGGCTTGTTATGATCATAACGAAGCTAATTACAAATCATTGGAAATGATTTTTTGACATCATCGTTGTGTACACTCAAAAACACGTGCCAACAATTGATGTTTATCGACATTGCGATAACAACAACCATAAGGAAATATTTATATTTAATAAATTTGAGGATATATCTACCTTAAATTTTTAAATTTTTTATTAATTTATCTATTATTAATTATCAAAATCTACAACTATGTGCACAAAAGGCCTAGATTTCTAATATTTGAAAATAAGAGGTTTTTAAGCAGAGAAAGGCATGCGAGGATGCAAAAAAAAAGGGGAGGGGATTCAAGCGAAGGTGATTAACTAGCATTGAAAAAAATCTGGATCGCGTAATGTCGAAAAGAATTATGTTCACCTGCAATTTCAAACCTTTATAAGAAGTGAACACGGGGAGTAAAGTTTTATAACGAACCTTCAATCATTGAATCAACGGACTTCAGGTATTACAAGTGGTTTCGTTCGTTTGTTCATCCTTTCACATCGACATTTACAATTTAAAGATATCTGGATAAGGTCAATCGTATTTTTCCAAAGATTGCTCTTCTATAATCATGAAATATTTTCTAAAGCAAATTTCTGCTCGTTTTACTTGTTTTGATAGATTAAATAGGCGGAGTAAGCATTATCGAGAGAGAAATAACCATAAGAATGAGTTGATGATGAACGAATGCAGGAGATGATACAATAGAATTTAGTTGAATTATACCAACTAGAAAGTTAATTAGCCAGTCTTCAATTACTCGCAACAATTAAACAACCAAAAAATCAAACATAAATCGTTTTATCGTTACCTTTATTGTCAAACTATTATACGAATGGAAAATCTATAACAAAAAGTCAAAATTCGTGAATTCATTTTTCTTTTGCAATAAAATCAAAGGCATGGAAGAAAATTTTATCAAGTGTCTTTTTTCTCAATTTTAGAGTCGACATATTATTAATAATAAATAATTAACACACAGCATATAATGAATAGTCACAAAATAAGGGGTATTCCAAAATATTAATAGATGTAGACAATAGCTCTATCAGAGAAAAAAAAATATACAGTGTGTTTGTTGTACAAGATAAATTTTAATATTATATCAAAGGAGTGAATTCCCTTACTGTTATCAATGATACCACTTACTATTTGCGATATCACTACTATGAAACGATACCAATAACAATATTGCAATTGCTCGTACCAATAAACGAGTTACTCTAGATATTTAGTTCTCACAGAAAAAAGGACTCGCTAACACTATCATGAAACAGAAAAAAATGAATGAAATTATCATTGCGCTCAGTAATGAATATGTCAAAGAATGGTTTCCATAAATGTATTAATATCCATCGTCCATACTCGTGTGACGATTGGATTCCTTAGACAGTGCTCTTAAAGAACTAATTAAAACGAGTGAATCATAGAGAAAAATGAGTACACAAAAGGCTCGAAGAATTTTTAAATGAGGAGGACACCAATTTTTATTAACAATCTAGAGAACAATTAACAATTAAAATTAGCAACATATAAAATCAAATTCCATATTCAAATATCCTTAATAACATACGGTACATGATGCATAAAATATTAATAATAGTAGAACAAAGGACTTGAAATAAAGATAAATCATGGAAAAACATCGATACAAAAGTAGTTAGTTCATCTTGTGATTTTTCTGGGGAAAGCTTGTGAAAAAGAATAATTGGAAGCATACGTGAACATTTGTACAACCAAGGATTTCAGGGTCCAAAATTGTTTAACATCACCATTATCTCACTTGTAATCTTTGTTAGTTAAATTAGTATTATAAATAATTTTATTATTTTTTGATTTTTAAACGAAAAAAAAATATATGTTGGAAGGATTTGTAGTTTTGATTTTTTTTTTCCAGAGAATGAATGTTCAGACACAAGATGAAGGATTATTTATCTTGTTTTGACGCCAATCAAACAAAAACAAAAGATTTATTTAAATCACATAAGGTACATCTTGAATATAGTTTTCTTATTATTACGGTTAAGGAATAAAAACAACCATTAATTGATTGCTTTTCATAAGGAAAACAAATATTTATTATTATTGTACAGTCGTCGATGAACCGAATTAAAGTGCACGCTTTTTACTTTTTTGTTTTGTTGCAGTATACCCCAATTAATTATATGTATGATGTAGTTATATTAGTATACTGATTGTTGTGTTATGTTGATATTTTAATAAATTACCATACAAAGTAATTAAAATTAATTGATGAATTATTTGTGTGCCACACTATGGCTTTTTGGAAAATAAAACCCCCAATTTTAACGATAAAATTAAAAGAGCAATTAACACTAATGGATATATGAGGATATGGGGAGTGACAAGCATAATGATTATAATAAAGGAATTTTTATACTAATACTAACGTGTTTAGCTCGGAAAAATTTTAATAAAGCAAAAACTGCGTTGCTTTCTTTAATACCATTATAAAAATATTATGCGTGGCATTAACATTTTCGCCCCATATGTTTAAGTGTGATACAAACTGTTGAAAAGTGGCAGTGTTCGATTATGTGTATAGAGAGTGTGTGAAAGAAAGAGAAGATTAAAAAAAACCGAAAAATCAAGTTTTTTTTTTTGGTTTTCTCTATCGTTGAACTAGCTTAACCAAATATATTCACGATAATAAAAAAACATTATTAAATATTATGTATTTACACATAAACATGCATAATGCTAAAATTAATTGTTTTTCAGCGCATCATTTATTGTTTGGTCACGTGATGTTTTGAATTTTAAATTGAACCGAATATGGAAATTTGAACAAATACGAAAAAGAAGTGACGATGATCTTTTTAAAAAGATTAGGGTTTGAATTTTTTTTTAGGAATATTTATTTATTTTTAAAGATTTTGTATGAAAAATTAGCCTCTCCCAAATCTAAAATTAAGTCTTAATATTTTAGTTTGATTGCCATTACCAAATTGAAAAATAATTAATTAATAATAATTACTTTTTTAAAAAAAAAAACTTTAATTAATTGCAACTTCCTAATTGACATCCAACCTAATTAATACTCTCAAACCAAATGGAACAATCATTCTACTACAATTCATCCGCCCACTGATTACTACTTATAATAACCATTATGCTTCGTTATTTGTTTATTCTTCTGGATGATCTTTTCTTTGTGTATGAAAACAACGAAAACAATAACGACAATCGTGAATTTATATTTTTGATTAGTGTTTAACCAAATTATATGTTAATGATGTATTATTCGTTATTATTTATTTATTATTTTATTTATTATTATTTATTATAAAAAAAAAAAAAAAAAAAAAAAAAAGTAAAATAGTAATTCCTTTTTTTTTTTTTTTTTTTTTTGGTTTTTTTTTCTTATTAAAGAAAATTGTTTTGAATGAAAACGACAAATTTGGATATATTTATATTTATATTTATTTATTAAACACTTTTCCGAACGAACAAGATACTCAGATAGAAACGATGATGAAATAAAGAATAATTTAGTCAAAAAGTTAAAATAATTATTAAAGTTAGAATAATAATTAAATTGGGATAATATTTAATTAAAAAAAAAAAAAATTCAATTTCTCAATTTCATTTTCATTTATAAACATATCCTAATTAAGAAACTTTATATATATATATAACCAAATTAATAAATAATATAATAGATAATATAACAATTGTATGATATCAAAAGTATAAATAAATAAATAATTTTAAGTAATTTGTACTTTATTTGGACGTTTTTTTAAATTGTATATGAAAAAATCATTTATGATGATGGCGTTAATTAATTGTATATATATATATATATATATACACATATATATACAACTGATTTACCCCGGACGATGATGACTACTGATTGATTGATTGACTTTTAAATTGACTTTTATTGATATAGACTTTTTGAATTTTACTTTTTTTTTACTCTTTGATTCAGCCATATGCTCGATAAGAAGTCTATTATTCTTCTAGTTATCACATAAATATATAACAGATATCACACATATGACACACTTGTCTCCATGCAGGTTCTCACACACACACACATACATACACACACACAATGAAAATTTTAACTTTTAGAGAATAGTTTAAAATTAGTAATAAATAAATAAAAAACATTATAATTTAACGTGATACAATTTAATTATATTTAAACTTTTTTTTTTTTTCCTAAAATTCCTAACAAAATAATAAATGATTTCAAATGTCAAAAAAAACTTATTTAACTTTGTTTTTCGTCGTACTATATATTGACATCCTTTATAACTACAATTACGAAAATAATTATCACTGATAAATTTATTCCATGCGATTATTTCGGAGTTTTGTTATAAATATTTTCCAAAACTGCTTTGGTCTTTATTTATAAAATGAGAAAAACGTAATAGGATTGCTAAATAATTCCTAGATTTTGTTTATGTACTACTACAACACATCTAAATTTTGAAAATTTTAATCTGACTTCTTAATAATATTAATTAATTTCACGCAGTGTGTGATAATTAAAAATTCCAATTAAATCTATTTTTTCCTATTTTATTCTGTTACAATTTAAAAAAATATAATAAATAAAATTATTTTTTTTTTTCAAGAGTAATTTTCAAATCAAAAAAAAAATCATTTTTCCTCTTTTTTAAGATTTTTTTTCTTTTTTCCTAAAAAAAAATTATTTATTATTCTCATTGTTTTCTGGTTATTATCATAATAACACTTCTTTCTTCTTCTAACAATTATTATTTATTTTATTCCTAATAACAACTAAAAACGATTGTAGGATTCTTTCTATTTTTAATTTTCTCTCTATTGTGTGTGCGTTTATTTTTACATATAATTACAAAAAACCTGGTTCATAATTGCTTGTATATTATATATATATATACATATTATATATATTCTCTTTACGAAAACTACTTTCTTCTTGGTTTATCGTCTACAATAAAGCACTTGGGTAGTCTTCTTCATCCATCCATCTCTTTCTTCTTCTAGCATTGCTCAAGTTTAAAGCAAATGTAAGTAAAACTTTTTAAAAATTTACATACATACATACATACATACCTATATATAGATAGATAATAGATATAGTACATATAATACCACATGTGTAAATATAATATCTATTATATTTTTGCACGTACATACCATCTAACGTTTATTTATATTTTTATTAGCTGACAAAAGAAAACCGAAATTAAAAAATGTCTGCATTACTCGATCAATCTTCTTCATCGTCATCTTCTCCCATTATAAATAACAACGATCCAATTGATAATAATAATAATATCAGCCAAGAATCTTCTACCAATAATAACAACATATCTTCAATATTCTCTTTATTAAATCATCACGAACAATCCAACAACAATAACAAGAATGTTACAGATGATGTAAATGTTTCAAGCGATTCTTCTAATAATCAAACTAGCGATGTTGTTAGTGACATCACCACATCTGATAATTCAACAGCCAATTCTTCTTCAACATCTTCTCAAGAAAACCATCATAATGGTCACTGGAGACGTTATTCTGAACCAAGCTTATCGTCATCATCTATTATTTCTGATGACGCCATAGCCGCCAACACCACCAACACCACCACAACTATCACTAAAACAAGATCGACGTCTTTCTCTATACCATCTTCTGATCGTAGATCGTCGTCTTTAATGAATAACAGCCATAACAATCATTACAGTAGCGTCAATAACAGTAACAATAGTAGTAATAGTGGCAGCAATAGTGGTGATATGATTACTCCCCCTTTAACTCCTGGTTTTATTTCTCCAACAAAAACTCATTTTCAAATATCTTCTAATAATAACAATGATTATCAGTATCTTCAACAATATAATTATAATAATTCTCACCAATTTGTTCCTCAACATCAAAGCAAAAGATCAAAATCAAAATTATCATCTTATTCTAACAACAACAACAATAATAACACTGCTTACACTTCTAACAACCAGAAGAGCCATGACAACAATCAAAATAATAATCAATCATCACTTGAATCTGCTACTGCTATCGACGTTACCCCATCTACCGATCTTACATCACCTATCGATGTTACTTCACCTTCTAATACTGCTGCCGTTGACGATAATGGTCAACAATCGTCACAAAAAGTCAAACGTAAACGTATCACTCAAGATCAATTAATTGACCTTATGTCCGTATTTGAAAAAACTGACACTCCTAGTTATGATGTCCGTGAAAAATTGGCCAAGAAATTAAAAATGACAAACAGAGAAGTTCAGGTAATATATCGATTGATTGATATATATATGTGTGTGTGTGTGCGTGTGATTAATTATAAAAATTGTAGCAATTAATAATCAATGGTTTTTATTGTTTTTACAATTAATTTTTCATATATAGGTGTGGTTCCAAAATAGACGTGCAAAAGCTAATCGTGCAAAAGCAAATGAACATAATGCTTCTCAACAACATCACCGTTTCTTACATCATCATTCGGTTACTGCTACTCACCATACTGCTAACGGTCATCATGGTCACCATCATGCTTCTTCTGCTTCTTCATCTTCCTTGAGTTCTTCTGTTGTAAATCCTGGAAATTATACCTTCATACATATGTTTACAAACGGCTCAAATGCTTCTTCAAATGGTGCTTGTGGTTTAAAGGGAGGTCGTAATAATCGTCGACATTCTTACGCACACCCTCCCTCCTCCTCACATTCACCTTCTGCCACATCATCACATAATAAAATAACTACTCAACATAATCATAATCGTACTAGACCAAGAGCATCAACTGTTTCTGGCGCGACACCTACCCATAACAACTTTAATAACATTATTAACGTTAATAATTATCATCATAACTATCTTCATAATCGTCATCATAATGCCTACATATCACCGTCACATTACAGCAGTGGCAACAATAACAATTCATTAAATCAAAGAATGTTGTATCCATTACCACCCCTTAAAATAAATAATGAAAATGGTGACGATGAAGATGAAGATGAAGATGGTGGATCTTATACAACTATTCCTCATCTATCATCACCATCTTCATCTACCTCTCCCATCACTCCAACATCTCCAATTCATCTACCATCAATCAAATCATTAATGCCTTCCTCTAATAAAAATACAACAATAACTAGTCCTTCGACCGGTGAACAATCAGCGATAGATTTACTTGCTTCGGCAGCTGAATTCATACTGACTGAAGAAAAAGAAAAGGAAGAAAGAGAAAGAGAACGACAAAATGCTGCCAAAAATAAATGGAGACCTTGGTTGATATAATAATAATAGACAAAGTTGGTTGGTGCGGTAATGTTGTGTGTGGGTTGTGGATATAATGATGAAATAGCGGAAGCAGATGTATATATATATATATGTTAATTACTTGACGTTTTTGATTTATCTAAATTCAAAATCAAAAAAAAACATTTTAAGATTTTTCAAATTAACAATTATATTCTTTTTGTTGTTTGGACAATTGGTAATTAAAAAAAAAAAATTTTTTTTTCTTGCAATATATATTTAGCATTTAAAAAATTTCCTTTGTATTATTAAAAAAAAAATTTCATTTCTCTTTTTCTCTTTCAAAAATTCAAAAAATCCAAATCTTATAAATAAATAAATATATATATATAATATATACATACATATATATATTTATTTATTTATTTATTTGTTCTTTCTTTTTTCCAATCTTTTTTCTGTATATTTTTTTTTTGTTTTTTATTTAATTTTAGAATTTATATTGTACTATATTATTGCACTTACTATTCACCCCACCACCACCATTACTCTTATTATGCTTTTTTTTTTTTTAGAGAATTTTTATTTATATTTTTTATTTCTGTCAATATCAACAAAATTTCTTAATAATAAATTAAAGACAAAAGAAAAAAAAGGAAGGAAACAAGAAGAAAGAAAGAAAATGGTTATTTTTTTGTAAAAATCTTTTTTTTTTAAAAAAGTATATATTTATTTATTTGTTTGTCTTTTTTTTTTATTTGTAAATATTTTATTATTATTTTGTGATTTTATTTTTTTGTTTATTATTTATCTTGCAGTTTATTTATTTTTATATACATCTATATTAAAAATAAAATTTGTATATTTTTTTTTTTACTACTTTTTTTTATTTATTTGTATTTTTTTTTTTTGCAAGAATTGATTTATCAAATTAAAAAAAAAACTAAAACAATAAAATAATAATAAAATTTTTTTGCTTTTGCAATATTAATTTTATCTAATAAATTAAATAATTTTATATATCAATAAAATCTCTAATAAATTACGTTATATAGCTAATCAAAACGACCAACGATAACACTAATTAAGATCAAACCAAACAACCCTCATCTCATTTCCGTACTATAATTGGTGCATTAGCTTGTAACCATTTCCTTGCTTCAACTAAATCTTCATTTTCAATCTCAACAGCCTTGACACAAAACTCAATTGGATACTTTTCATAATATTCTCCGCCACCATCTCCATTTGCTAAATCTTTACCTTTATACAAAATGTCAGCAAGGAAACGTCTACGAGTTGTTAATTCATCAACACATAAATAAATTGGTGTCGTTTGTGATAATTGAATTTGTTGAAGATGTGGTAAGATTGTTGATGCGGCTGTGTTTGGATCTTTTTTAATTGAATTACCCGTTGCACAATACTATATAAAATAATGAATACGAATTAATAATGGATTAAACATAAAAGGTATATTATCTTGATAAATATAAGATATTTTACCATGTTTGTGCACCAACTGTTCCCACAACCAACTGTCAATTGTTGATAATATTTTCTACCAAGTCTAGTATACAACATTCTACCAGTCGGGTCTGCAGTTGGAGACCAAAAAGGTCCGAAACATGTTGAACACAACTTAAGAATGTTATTGGCTGCTGGTTTTATACAATTTTCATTTCGACAAAGTTTCGGCAACTTTCGATTTTGTTTCTCAATCTCATGCATATTAGCATGAGCTCTCACATTTCTCAATGTGACCGATTCTTCGCATTTCACACATTTAATCGTCCGGGCGCCACAATATGACTCGTGTATTGTCAATCCCTCAAGCAGATCTTGTGGGTTGGTCGACGGTTCATCTTGTTTCACCAGGTTGCGACAAAATTTACATGTAATCAATCGATCTGGACACGTGGTTCTTTTATGTCTTGCTAGATCTTGAAGTGATTCTGACTCATATTTACATGAACATTTGCGTAGAGTGTGAAATATAAGCTCATGCTTATCTTTTTCTAAAAGATCACCATACTAAATAAAATAGAGAAAAACGTTTAATCTATTTTTTCTTGGAAATATAATTATGATGATTATTAGAATAACGATATTTTTTATTATTACTATTATTACCTTATCACATTTATCGCAATGCCAATGTTGTTTCTCTTCACCTTTCTTCATTACTTTTCCACATAAATTACATTTTGTATTATTTCTTTCACAAAAGTTAGTATGCAACATTACAGTTTGTTGGGGTATCCATTGATCGCAATTCTTACATTGAAATTTATTTATATTATCATTTATTTCTGTCGATGGCGTTGTTGTCGTTGTTGTTTTTGGGTCAAGAAGTGTTACCATTAATTCATACGATGTTGTAGAATCACTAAATCCATAAACTCCTATATATAATTTATCACTAATAGAATATTCATGGTTTGTTGGTGGAATTATTATGGTTTTTTTATTCGTTGTTGTTGTTGCTGTTGATGATGGCGATGAAAAATCTGACCATAAATGATCATTTATCTTTGGATTTCGTTCATTAGACACGATAAGATCTTTATTTTTGGTAAAATAAAAAATTTTACAATTTTATTATAAATCAAATAAATCAAATATAAAAACATATATATATCTTTGTTACCTGCATCACCATCATTATATCTTAATTCTATATTTAATCCATATGATCTATCATTTAAATTTAAAAACCAATATTCGTAATCTTGTGAAGATACGTTTCCGCCATAAGTTTTACCAATAGCCGTTATTTCTTTTTCTATTGATTTCTTTTTCTTGTTATCTAATTTTTGTAAATCTTCTATAAATGGTATTATATCTACTTCTAAATCTGTATCAACTATTTGAACTGCGTCTTCTGGTTTTAAAGAATCGACCAAAAACTGATATGAATTATCTGCTTGCTTTATAGTAAGTATTTCTCCTGTGGTCAATGTTGTATAATATGATCTTAAATATGCTTCAAATGCAGCCCTAATATAAAATATAAAAATGTTATTGTTAATATTATTATTTTCTTTTTAAAAAATTCTTTTTTTTTTTTCCACAAAAAGCAAAAAAAAACCTATAATCCATTATATCTTTATAATCCATAGTCATGGGGCGAAACCGTGCCCAAGTTCCTTTTGGCAATTCCTTAAGTCTAATAGTTACTTCTTCACCTTCTTTAAGTGAAAGCGAATCATACATCCATGATGGTAAATAAGCTTTTTCATCTGCCGAATTAAACTCTTTAACACCACCATGAGTTATTAAACGCGTTTTTGGATTAAAAATTTGGAAAACGATTGGATATGGTAGATGGGTATTTGAAAAATCGCTATCGTCTCTGTCGTGAGTTGCAATTGCAAAACCATTACTTTTACTACCACTTCCTGCACGTAATATTTCTTCAAGAACAAATGGTGGCAGTAACAATTTGTCACCTTCCAAATGCGAAAGAATTGGCCCAGTGAATAAATTTCTCGAGTACGAAATCATTTTAAAATAAAAAATCAAAAAAAATTTACTTTTTCAAATTTGATCTCTGTAAAATGAAAGAACTTATATAAAAAACGCATTATTACCGATATGGTAATACTAATAGTAATTACGTATATAGTATGCAAAAAAGTGACAAGGTAATTAATTTCAGGGTTTAAAATTGTTTAATATCACAACTGTGCTACTAATATGAGATAAATGCTCATAACTTTCAACAATAAACTTTTTTTGCTGGTTGTTGGTTGGTTTCTTATTTCATTATAGAATTTTTTCCACAAAGAAATTAGGAAGTTTTGGGCAAGCGATGGAAATAAATTTCAGAGCCATGAGATTTAGCTATCAACAGCATATGGATAAACAATAATAATCACAAAAAAAACCAAAAATACCAGAGATTTATAATGAATGATGATCCTCATAATAATTTACTAATTTTTGAACCCTGAATATATACAATATACACGTAATGGTAATACTAATACGTAATTTTTTTTCAGAGAACACAAAAAATTCATTTGGTTCTCAATTAATATAATTAATATCCTGAATAGGAATTCTATATCTTTTACCAAAAGTCTTTTCTGGAGATACGTTCACTTCTGAATAAAGGAAAAAACCTGGGTAAAATCAGTGTCCTAGGACAAAATCGATCTTTGGTATCAAACTTGCTGTCAAAATCCTTAGATAGTCAAAAAAGATACTATTTATTAAATATCAAATTATCACATGCTTTATCTTGTCAAGTAGGATATCAAAAGTTTATACTACCCAACTTGCCATTAAATAAGCACCAAAAGCATGAAAAACATGAGTGATGAACGAATGTCTTGATTGCGCTTTAGGAAGCTAAAAAGATGCTTGTTATGCTAGAATTGATTCTACTACAATCGATTTATTATGACAAAGTATGTAACAAAATTGGTAATAGCACAAAATTTGGTGCCCTTTGATAACATGTCTGAAATTTTGGTACCACTTGCTCAAGAGACAAGCGAATCTTGGTTCCATTACGTAAAAGAAGAGCCAAGTTTTAATACACATACATCAGGAGACAAGCCGAATTTTGAAAACCACACGTCAAGAGAAGAGTCAAAAATACCTGGCTTTTTTTTCAGGCAGGAGCGAGCCGAATTTTTAGGAATCGGCACAAAGACGACGATTGAAATTATACCACTTCATGACATACCTGTTCCCAGTATGAAGCTGGAATAAACCATAAATTGAAGCAGTATGTTCACTACAAGAGGAACAAGGAGTCCTTTTTGGTCTTCCAGTGATCCCTTCACCCCTTAGGGCTCATGCAAGATTTAGAGCAGGCAAAGCCGTCATTTTTAAAGAAAGAGGCAACGGTATTCGTTCACCAAACATTTTAATTTAATCGAATAAAATTAAAACTTAAAGAAAGTTTGCAATTAATGAATGTATAACACATTCATACACCTTGATTCATACTTGTGGCAGATGTGTTAAAACATTCTCAAAAAATGGAAGCTTGCTCGTCACGAAATAGACAATATCCTCCACGTCCTCTTTGAAGTCCTGCACCTGCACAACTGCCAATCCCATTGCCTGGACCCCCGTTTGGAATTGAGACAAACCAAAATTCTGATCAATTGCCCCAAAATCAGATTCCAATCCCAAATCAGTTCTGAGAATGGGCCAATTTTATAGGCATCATTTCAAGATAGTAGTATTCTTGAGTTGATATATCAAAATTTAAAAAAGAATTAGAAAATTTTGAGAATTTGCATCAAGAATATTGTAATCCAGATGAAGAAATTTATATAGAGTTATAAAACTATAGTAAGAAGGAAAAAAGAGTTATATAGCCCAACTAGATGGCAGACACTATATCATATTCAACACCTTTGTTTTTAATTCCACAACGCTTTTAACACCCAATTTCCTGAAATATTGGTATGTTAGATTTATGATCACAAAATTTTTATTTTATTTGCACAATGCATAATTAGATGTTCCAATTATTAGTTATCATTTTTTGGCTGGATAGTCGGTCATGCTCAGCTAGGGAAGAGCAGAAGCCTTTGACATCTGACATCACTCTTCCAGGCCAACTACTTCCTAACATTCAGCTCGAACATTTTTTTAGAATTAAAAATATCAGTATGATGAATTATAACAGTTTATGTAAAGGCAATTAATAAATAGTAGCGGATCAATTTGATTGATATAGAATCCAAAACTTTCCTAATCTAAAATGAAAAACTTATCGGTTCAAGTTCTATTGATCCTGAACTATATTGTGGAATCAATGTAAAAAATTGGTGACAAACATCTAAAACAATAAAAGATATAGTGTTGGAATGAAAACACAATTTATCGAAACTTCATTGAGAATTTCTGAAGCAAAAGTCTTAGGATTTGAGATAAAAGAAATTGTTCAAGAATTGTTATTAAACACAGAATCCAGCCCATATCTAATTCAAGTTGAGAAAATGTTGAATTATTTGTTTACGGTCTAGGTGTTTTAAATAATAATGAATTTTGTGGAGTTGGGAATGGTTATATATCTTGTTTTAACCATGCTTTCAAAAGTAAAATGGTGTATATTTGTTCAAAAAATAATTGATGTAGTTGAGATATGGTTTGAAAATCCATTGCAGTCCAAATAATGCTAGAAAGAATTAGGAATTTTAAGGAAAAAAAATCGCTGGTTTTATATAATGATACAACAAATGAAATCTCGGATTCTTGGTGTGTATAAGAAGATAAAAATTTAATAAATAAAATATTTTGTATCTTAAAAGAGTAACACAAGTGTATAAGATGTAAATAATAGATTTCGAACCAAGATTATCAAGTAGATCCGGCTTTTTTAAATGCGTATCCATCTCATAATGAAGATAAAACTTTCTGGAGTTGTTTCAAGAAAAGCCTTGATGATAAGAAATGAGGACCAGATGGAAAATAAAAGAACCTTATCCATCATTGCACAAGATTTTTCATAATAATATGAAAGATTACAAAAAAATTAGAAGTTTAAATTTTTTCAATTAAAAATTTAAAATTATTATATTTTTATAAATGGGTTATTTACATAGAATTATAAAATCTCATTAGGTTTCACCTAATTCTATATCAGAAGCCAAAACATTCGCTCAAATTAATGGGAATGAAGATAAGACCAAGATTACTGAATATGATAAAAGCGCAATTTGATGCTTTTTCCCCGATAAAGCCAATGTTTCTATGAGCCCATGTTGATTCTCGAAGTGGACTGCCAAATTTATACTTGCAGGATTACAAAAAAAAATTATGGAAGCTTATTTAGAAATGCACCCATGGTAAATGTTTCTTCTTAATTTACAAGATGATAGGTACAAATATAGAGTGTACTCTGTTCAAATTATTGATATAATGTGTTTGAAGATTTTAATAAAGAAAGTTATGATAAAATATATAAACGAAATTTTGCCGGTATAATATAACGGGCAGCTAAAACATGATGAACATATAGCAAATGGTGTGCAGTTTAGAGTTATGAGAAGTTTTGTTCTACTTAATTTTATTCTTAAGCATATGTATTTTGAAAATAACCTATTTTTCAATGTTTTCATAATAAAATTCTTCATAGCTCTAAACTGCACCCCATCCACTATCTTTTTGGTAGCGATTTGAAAACGGATGTAAATTTCAGGAATTATGCTATATGCTGATCACAAAAAAAAAATAACATAATAGCCTGAAGCAGATCGTCTAAACTTGATATATAATAATAATTAATTTAAAAAAAAAAAATTTGTAAGCATTCTCATATAACAGAAACTATAAAAATTACGTAATACATTTATATTAATATTACAGCAAGCATCATCGGCTGTGGAATGTCATTTATACGTTGATTTTTTTTGACACTATTGCTATGCTCGTGTGACAATTGGTAATCTAAATTGGGTATGCCTTTTTTGTTTTTATAATCTTCGTGGAACATTAGTAATTTGAATCTCTAATTTTTTTTTATAACCTACAACAACTGTTATATCAACTTTATTGACTAATTAATGTCTTCTTCCTTTTAGCTACTTTCTTTTTTTTTCGCTTCTCTTGTCTTCTCCTACTTCAAAAATTCTCCATATAAATAAACTAAAAAAGTTTTTTTTTTGATGCTTTATAGTATACATAATTATAATAATTATAATTATTATTATCATCATAATCAAAAAAAAAATTATAATAAACATTATTGACGACGACAAATCAATCGAATGGCGTTCAAGTTCAATTGGCCAGATTTTACTACTGAATTTATAGAACAGGCAAAACAATTATTAACAACAGCTTTAAATAAAAGCAATAAACCAGCAAATATAGTGGATCATATAGTTGTAAAAGATTTAAACATGGGAACGAAGGTTGACATTCGATAAAATTGTCAGTTCAAAAAAAATTTAAAAATAAAATTTTTTTAAAAAAAATTTATTAAAATTATTTAAACAGTAGTTAACATTTATTATTATTATTATTATTATTATTATAAATTAATTAATTAGCCTCCTGAACTAGAGGTTATGGAGATTGGTGAATTGGCAGTAGATAAATTTAAAGGAATATTTAAGTTGATATATAGTGGTGATGCACATTTAACTTTACAAACTAAAGTACAGGTAATTAATTAATTAGCCAAAAATTAATATAAAAAATACACTAATTATTATTTTCTCTCAATTTTCTGAATTTATTTATTAATTGCTTAATTCTCTCCCCCTTTAAGGCAAATCCAATGAATAATAATAAATCAGATGTAAGCATATATACCAGACGTGGTATTCTTGCAGCAGATCAACCTCTTGTAGTGCCAATGTTACTACGACTAAGTAATTTGAAATTACGCGGGATATTTGTGTTGGTGGTAAGCAAACAAAAAGGAATTACATTAGCATTTAAAAGTGATCCTCTTGAAAAAATAGATGTTACATCAACTTTTGATAGTATATCAACTATACAAAGATTTTTACAAAATGAAATTGAGAAAAGATTAAGAACTATGTTTCAAGAAGATTTACCTTCTATCGTTCATCAATTATCTTTACAAAAATTGTTCAATTTTAAAAAGAATACTTAATAAATAATAATAATAATTATTATTATTAATTAATTAAGAAAAAAAACATTTAATTATAATTAATCATTTTAATGATTTTATATTATTATTGCATATTACATCATAATATATTTATTTTCCATTGCTCACAAAAATATTATTTATTTAGATAATTTGTCCCTTTAAAAATAAAAATTATTAGCGATTATAATTCGTTCTCCATCCTACTTTTACACACTCATTAGCTTAGAATTGACTCACTTTTAATTATTTCACGGCATTTTATTATTCTATAACATATTAATATTAGAAATTTCATTTACGTATTACTCTAACATTAGATGAATACATGATCGATTCTTTTGTTTTTGAATTTCTAAATTTTGTTTCTTTTTTTTAGAAGAATCAAGAGATATTCATCTATTTATCATAACAATAAACCAATTAATATATGATCTAGTTATTTGATTGGTTATAGTTATGACGTTTAACCAGTTAAATCCTTCTGGCTGGAGGAGACTTCTTCCATTGTATCTTTATCAATATTGAGAATGCGAGTAAATTTTTTCCAGTGTAGGACTGGTTTTGATCTTGAACTTGGAGATTAGAGGCACCGACGAAATTTTCATCACACTTTCCAAAAAGGTTGTCAATTCAATACATTGCAGAATCCTACTGCTTGGTCTCAAAGTGAAGATTTTAGATTTTTTTCCTGTTAAAAAATTAACATATTGTCGATCAATAAGAACTAACTGGTCCATGAAAAAGAGAGATACCATTCTCGTTTTTGAATATAGTTTGTGGATACAGAGAATCTTTTATTTTCATTATAACAAAACCAAATTTCAAGTATTGAGCAATATGATCATGGTTTTTTCATCATTGGCATCGGTTCTCCCCAAAAATACCAGAGATAGTAACCAAAAATGGGAATAACAGCACTCTTTTTCATGGGCTAGTTACATTTCAAAAATACGTATTTTAATAGATTATATAAAAACGCATACTTTGATAGTCCATGAAAAAGAGTTTAATAGTTCACATTTGTTTCATAGATTAATTAACGTGTGAATTGTTGTCGTCCAATTAAATTTTTATTCATAAAATAATGTCACAAATAATAATAATAATAATAACTGATAATAATGGATAAAACTATCATTAACAACAATAATTCCAATTCAACATCTACAAAATCCAATTCAAATCAAGAAGAAATTAATGCAGCATTCTCAATTGGTAAAATACTTCCAATAGATACGAATTTGGTGGATGAATTGGAAAAGCAGGCACAAGGAATTTCTAAAGATGTTGAAACTATGTTTCAACATTTACAATCGCAAATGTTTGAGGTATTATTTCAATCGCTCATTTTTCAATAATTCTAATAAATATAAATATGAATATGAATATATTTTCGTTATGTGAATGGATTGAATTTTGTTTAGGCAACAGTTTTAACAAAATCATCTTTTGAAGTTTATGATCAAACAATAGTAAAACAAGGCGAGGCAATTGAAACAGCGATTGATAAAACTAAACAATTGATTGAGCTTTGTGTTGATCTAGATAAAGAATTTAATAGTAACGTTGTTGGCCTGTCAAGTAAAATGTAAGAGTGATTTGTTATCATTGATTTTATTTTTTATTGTCTGAACATATAATAATATTTACTATTATATATTAATTAGTAAACATATTAAACAACAAGTTGATACACTTAATTCAATCATTGGTAAATAAATAAATAACAAAACAAAATAAAATGGTACAAAAGTTTTGTTTGAATGCCAATTTATTTTAACATGTTTGGAAAATTTTATATTAGAGGCAATAGGCCAATTTTCATATTTATTTTACTTCTGTAACGAATATTGAGATCTTGGAGAATAAAATAATTCAAGGGTTAAAACAATCACTTGGTCTTCAAGACGCAGGAAATATGGCTCAACAAAGAGCCTGCGGTATGATGAAACCTTGATTGTTACCGACCGAGATGTTGATGGCAGTCATATCAAAGGTTATTGATCAATTTTTTTGATTGCTTTTATCCTTCTTTGTGAAACTATCTGAGTTTCCTTTTGATTTCTATCACACCTTTGCCACAATCTCACGTACAAAAGACAACAAACATTGATGAGAAAACATTGCAAAGAGATTCTCACTATCTAAAAAACAAAAAATTATTCTTGATTATGACAACAAATATATCATACATAGTATACGGAATCGAATTTCTTGAATAACGAATGCCAAACAATCCACAACGAATATGTTTTTCAAAGCATCGTCTTGATGCAATAGAAATGGTAAAGCGTATTTGCACTAAAACCTCGATGGAAGTAAGGGAGTTGATTGATTTCTATGAAAAAGTTGAAATTTGGTTGAAAAATGGGTTGCTTAAATAAAAAAAGTGTCAGGAAACACCTTCATCTAGAATGATTAATGATAATAATTTTGAATATACTTTGCTTGAATTTGATTCATTGTATGCATATATATACTGTATATATATTATTGAATGGATATCAGATATTTGACTGTTACTATGCCACTTTTGACTTGCAGTCATTCATTACTAATGACTAATCAACAACATCATCATAGGATTCTTATGGTAAAACAACGCTCCAATATAATTATTATCCAATCTCATTTCATTTTAAAAAACATCCGTTCTTAAAATCATTTTTATCAAAGTAGCATTTTTAACCATAAAGTATGCCTTCGACAAAAATGACTTTGCTAGATACCGAAACTTCTATAATAACATCTGAAGATGAATTGATTTTGGGTAATAAAATATTCAAAATAAAATAAAATAAAACAAAGTAATGTTGTCAACCAATTGTTTTGACTTTATGATTTTGGCACGTTGGTTCTAGATGTGCCTTTCAACCAATTATTGCTGTCTCTATATCCAATACCCAACCTTGCATGAAAGGAATGAAAAAAATCTTCCAAAAAGATTTGATCGGCAGTCTTCCTTTTTTAGATTGACTTTTAAATTGGAAGAAAAACAAAAGGATTACAATAAGAGGTATTAGTTTATTTATGCTTAATTATATTTTATATATATTATTTTTTTAAAAAAAATAAAGATAGGGAAATAATTGTAATAATAATAAAATGTCAATTATATTCATCAGGAAAACTTGCAGATGAAAATATCAGAACAATCACAAATTTTATATAAATATCATGGAGGGCCTGCAAGTTTTACGCTATATTATGATGAGCATGTAAGTTTTACGTCAAATTAATTTTCGGATGTTAACATTACTAATAATAATAACAATAGTAGTGGCAGTAATTATTACAATAATCATAATAATAGTAGTAGTAGCAGTATTCACAGGCCCCAAAAATGAGCAAATTAGGAGGCTATATCAGGGTTGGCAAATTGGCTGGTCCATTGAAAACTGATGGATTTTGGACTGGTCCATTGCCATTAATAAAATACTAAATATGGTTAAGGTATTACACTAATGGGCCCAATAAACCACCAATAGACCATCAATGGACCGCACATTTGCCAACCCTGGGTTATATCAAAACTAGTGAAATTCATGATTTTTTATTTGATTTTTATAATGTTTATAATATTAATTATGAACTTATTTTATATTGATTAATTTATTAAGAGGAAATTAGATTTTGCGCTCTATATTATAAATCTGACTTGTTAACATCATTCAACCAACAAAATATTTCAAAAAGAGTTGATAAGGTATTATAACTGCAAATGATTTTTAATTTCTACAACACTGAACAGCTCCCAATAAGAGAAGTTAGTTGAGATGTAAGGTTTAGACTGTATAAAAAGCACTAGTACTCAAAACACTCCAAAAAATACAACATTTCTACCGTGGTTATATCCTCTCAATTAGGCAAGTGAATTTTGATTATGTTGATCATAGATAAAGTCATAATAATAATATGTTTTAAGTTCAAATGATTATTCAAATTGCGACAATTCTAGAACTTATCAAAAATAGATGTAAGGCTTTTAAAACTTGCTTATTGTTTATTTATTTTTAAACAAAATTAGGTGATTATATTAAGAGAAAAGAAAAGAAAAAAATTGATAAGGCTGATAATGATAATGATGAAGCTATAATGAAAAAACCAACAACAACAATAGTAATGTAGGTAAAATTTAATTTTTTAGATTGTCTTAATCTTATTTATTTATAGTTCCTGGCGAAATGTTCTTGGCGGATCTGTTCATAGTAAAAATATAGTTGTTGGTGATAGCTAATAGTGCATCATAAATTATCTATTCTCAATAATTAATAATGATTTTGCAGATAATGATATTGTAAATCTTGAAGATGATATAAAATTCAATTTCATAACGATTGTAGTTTCTCTATTGTAATTAATTAAATGACTTGGGTTATTTAGGATTAAAATAAAAAAATGCTAGTATCAAAAGAAATTGTACTATATAAAAGAGCTTTCAAAAATACATGTATTAGTGCTAAGCCATTTATTTTAACGTTAAATTCATTAACATGATAATAATAAACATACAATTTTTTTTTACCGGTATTCTCATGTTTCATAAGAACTAGTTTTTTTTTCTTTAAAAAAAATTTTTTTTGTTTGATATTCTATCTTAAATCCAATTTTATATTATCTTTATTTTTGGTGTTTATCTACTTCCAACCCACCTGTTTCTGCTCTCTTTTCTAGATCTGCAAGCATTGAATTAGTAGTGAATTGATTTTTCTTATACATATTCCTGGACAAAAAGTAAGCTTCAAGAAGTTGTCTTACCTGCTCGTTTGTATGTTTACTGCCGCCTCGTTTTCCAAAATTTTGATATTCATAAAATGTGTAACCAAAAAAATTTGGGAAATTATCCATCACCTTTTTACATTATTCTTTTTCACTGAATCGGACAATTGTCTTTAAGTAATTTCCTTTTTAAGATACATAATAGAATAGTTGAACCTCTTGTGATTACAAACCAATATCTTGATTTTTGATCAAAATAAGCTAATTAGAAATAAATCAAGAATTAGATCCTACCTTTTATGGTAAACCTTTAAGTTTTCAACTTCAAAAGTAAAAGTTAGTAGATCCTCCAACAACATCGCCTGTTTCTTTCAACTTATTAACACCAAAATACTGTAGATATTTGAAATGGGATACTTGTAATTTGTGGATGAATCTCCTCCTTTACTCTAATAATATAATTGCAAAAAAAGCAACAAGCATTCAAATCCACTTTTATTATCATGTCATATTCAATCTTTCGTTTTATTAATTCTTTTTTGACACCACCCTTGGGACATCCATTGATTTTGATCTGACACTGAGAATAAAAGAAATTATGAACAATAATAAAAATCACCAATTTTACCTTTACTTGATAATGAAATAGTCCATTCAAATTTTATGTATAATAGGTTCAGAGGTTGTGTGATTTGGTTTTGTAAGCCTTGATCTTTTAAAGCTTTCTTAGTAATATCTTTTGGTGAAAAGATATTCCATTCACCAAGGTTTTAGGTAAAAAGCATGCATAAGTATGACCAGGTGAGTTATCTTTATTCGCCAAGAAAAATGACCAAGTGGAAATACTTCCTTAAGATTGATGCGACTTTGGGGGTTTTTTTTGGACGTTTACCAAGATTTAAATTTGAAATGGGAGAAGTTCTACTGATGAATAAATAGATAAATATGTAAATTGTGCTATTTATATTTTTAATAAATAAAATCCGGTTGCTATAATTCTAACCGGTTTTTAAATAACTATTGCTATTTTGGGGCCCTAGCAAGCAAGAACAGTAGAAAAAATTTTTTTTGGGAAAATAATACATATTTTAGTTTTAGATGAGGGACCTAAGACAAGAAAGAACTATGCATTCATGCTTTACTTAAACATGATTGATCTTATTAGGTTCTGAAGAAGATATGTTATTTATTAATAACTAGAGATACTTTTTTGTATTATTATCTTATATTGATAATATGGACAACATATTATTTTTTATTTCTTTTATAACATAGCCTAAAATAACATTTAATTTACATACATTATAGTAGTGACGTTCGCAATAATAATAAGGCTTTTGTTGTCGTGATAATAAGCAATTGAATAGTGCGAGAGTGGGAGAATCGACCAATATTTGTTTTGCACGATTATATATTAAATTTAAGAAACGTCAAGGGTAAAAGCAACTTGTACCAGGAAACGATTCAATATTTACAAATATTGAAAATTACTTTGAGGCTCATATATTTAAAATTCTCATATTCCTTGGATACAAAGGCTAATCCGACTTGATGATCTAAAGATACGACGATACAATCAAATTTGAGAGTGTTGCATGGCTCTTGATTTATTAGATTGTATTGTTATCAAAGAGACTGTCAAAGACCCTTACTTATTTTGAAGCCTCTAACTTGTCAGTAGTTCTTCACGTGTGGATAATTATACAGAAGAAAACAAGCGCTTACATGTTTGTAGAAGGAAAATTTTATTAAATCTGATACCCAAGTTCAATATGATAGATTTAATATTACACATTTTATTTTTCAGAGGCGATTTTTATTCCAGAGTCTTGCGTTATTGTGCGACTTTTTCAATTAAAAATTCACTTCTCTTGCATGGCCTTAGTATTATTATTATTACTTGGGTGATGCGCTTTATTTATTTGGTAAAACTAAGCCACACAATATACACATAATCTGCGTGAATTATTGACAAAATCAGAGTATTTTCATAGAATACACACTTGGATATAATCTACATGAAAAACAGGGGATTTGCGACATGTTTTTTTATTGTTTTCCTGATTTCTTTGTGAAAAACAGCAGACCTACGCCAAATTTTGACGTAGAATGTTACACGATATATTTTTAGTTTTCAAAAAAAATTTTTCAATAGAGATTTGAGAGATTGGAATTCCAAAAATTCTTAACAGCGTCTTTTAAGCTATTATAATGAATATTCTGTCTATTATAACTCTAAAGTTGGATTTTTCCTTTCGAAAAAGATTGCAATAACTATTTTTTATCAAAACAATTTTCGAAGAAAACGTTACTTTGAAATATAGAAAAAGGTTTTTTGAACTACTCGTACTTCATTACGAAAATTGTTAATATGAATAAGGTACACTATTAACGAAAACCGCGGATAGATAAAATGTAGTTTTAAAGCAACGCGTCTACTATTTTGCAGACTTTGGCTGACCAAAATGAAAAATATGGAGGGTTACAAATTGTTGGCGTACAAACAAATGCATCTCTCAATGATTTACCAAAAAAGAATATAGAATTTTTGTTTGTGATTTTGGCTTTTCAATATTTTTTATATGAATGAGCATAAACAACTATGTTAGAAGAAAAAAGATTTAAAGTTAGTTAAAATTTTTGTTGTAACATTTTTTTATTAATAAAAAATTAGTTATCTTGCACAATAATAATAATGACATAGTTGACATTTGGCCGTTTTGCCGTTTTTGGTGCAATTCGTAAACGGGGAAAACTAACAGAATGTAAGGGTTGTAAATCCACAAGATATTCTTGAAAATGTATTTAAAGAGTCCATTTAATACTTGGAGTCCACCAGGAAATAAAAATTATTGATGAGTTTATTCAAAATTGCCAAATGTTCTCGTCTCTTCCAAAGCAGGTTATGGAATAGATACCATTTTATCAAGTTAAAAATGTTAATATTTGACAAAGGACAGGTGTATACTGTAAGACGGATATACTTGATTACAATGAAGGCAAAAAGAATTTATTTATCATGGATCTCATTTAAAATGTTTAAATATAAACAATATTATTAGTTATAAAAGTTTATAACAAGATCTTAGACTTGGACTGAAACTTCTCTGATTGATTATGATGAAGGTAAATTAAATTTTATTAACTAATTTAAAATTGTTAATTGTTAAACTTAGATTCCTTTAACAATAATATTAATAAAGGAAATGGCATTGAAGTAATCAAAGATTAATGGAATAGATGAGGTTGATAAGAAAAGCATCAAGGTAATAAATAGTATTTAAATATTAAATAATTATTAGTAATAAGTGATTTTAAATGTAAAATTTTGAATTTTCTAGAAAACTATCATTAAAATTAATAATTATTTAAATAATTAGTCAATATATTAATCAAATTGATTAATTAAATAATTAGAACTGTTAAAAGATGAGCTTTTTAACGAATGATTAATTATTTGATTAAACCACCTTTTAAATATATGTGACTGAAATGTCAATATATATATATATATATATATATATACAGTATACATTATATCTTTATATCAAAATTGAAAATAGTGAATAACGTTGTTATCAAGTGATGTAAGCCGTCCTTGAAGTTTGTTTGGCTTGAACTGGGATCGCTGAATCGATAGAAATTGGAATTAAGATATGAAGAATTTAGTGAGAGGCATAATGTCGAGCACGCAAGCAAATTATACTATATTTGTTGTATATTTATTATCACTGGTAGTGGAAATGTTGTGACGTCATCAAAAATTACATGAACCGACTGTTGTAAAGACACTTTGGCCAGGGTTCTGATTCCAAGATAATTCTTTTGGAGGGTCAATAGAAGCTATGATACTGATCCTGGATTTTTCTTTTCTGATCATTAGTCACTTTAAATAAGAGCTTATGCTTGCCTTGACATTGCTTTACCGTGCATAAATCCATTGAATAAATGTTCTGCTGATTTCTTGGTTTAACTTTTCAATGGGTCTTTATGTGATTCCTTTATATCCGATTGAACAATTTCCTGACCACAAAAAAAAAAGCAGAAATATTCTTTTTTCTATTATATTAGTCTTCTTGCAAATAAATTGGAATGAACTTTGTCAAGATGCTGTGAATTCGTTATTATTTGAATTCATTCAACAAACAGGGCATTTTTAAAAATATATATTTGTATGTTTCTAAATCCTTGCGTTTTTTCACAAGTGGAATAGCCGAGGAATAAATAATCTACTTGGTGCTCAGGACCACTGGATCATGGACCTTCACTTATTTCTGGATATTAGAAAAGATCAAGATATCTATCCAGTCAATTTCTGGTTGTCTAAATTCCTAGCCCTAGTTGACTGGATGAATCTTGATTTTTACGTGTCATAAATCAGCAAGTTCATATTTATATTGACAATATGGTGAACATAATACTATATCTCCCATATAACCTAGCATTTGCTTTAAAATTAAAATCACTTTTCATGATGATTTTTAAAGATATTTAATTAAAGAATTAAAGATAGAAATTGACTCATTACTCAATAGACCAATATTAACTAAAATATTCTACTGAGATCTTACTATAGTCTACATCCTCTTCTCATTTATTGCCACCGTCACCAACTTATTATAATAATGATGGTTTCCTTAATATATTATCTATGTTCGTGTAACCAACGAATTGACTTTGTTCGTGAAACTTTAATAAGTGACTTACTATTACGTCAGAATGATCGATAAAATTGTTATTTCTTTCACGCGCCTCACCCTATTTATTAAATAAACATTTATCTCAGCAAGAGCTTCAACAAGAAACTTCGACGGCAAGACCTTCCATTTATTATTGTTGCTATTGTTATTATTATTATTATTATTATTACTGTTATTATGTAATTAATATTCTATAATAATAATAAATAACTCGTCATTCCTGGGAATATATATGTAAAGTTTTGTTCATACAAAAAAAAACAATAATATTTTCCAGCTTTATTTTATTTAAACATGTTAAATATATTCAGTTTTCTGCCTTTACAAAGTTCTAAGAGAGTGTTAATTTATTAATCATTGATCTTTATGCATATAAATAAAGGTCAAGCGTAGTAAAAGAGCCAACTCCACTGTCAACAAATTGGTTTTCATCCGGTTCAACTCTTCCTCCTCCCACCTGTCTCCAACAGAGTTGCAAACAGCAGCCTCTCCCTAAGACTCTGTTGCGAGACGTTGCCCATAAATATGGCCAGACACTTACTAATGTGTCGGTTGGCTTCCCTTATTCCACATGGCAGTAAGTATTATGAATAAATAAATAAATAAATAAATAAATAAATAAATAATAATAATAATAATAATAATAATACTATGGCAATATTAAAGGTGGAGTTATACTATCTGGTAATAGTGGATTTGATTTACGCAAGTTTCAGAAAGTAAAAAGTACGTGTATCTTTCTAAAATAAAAATAATTATTCATGATATTAATATGTTTATTTCTACTTGCATTATTAGGCGGGCTTATCACCACTTTCATTTTCATCACCATCTCCACCTCTATCCCCACCTTTGCTCCACCTATATTCACCCCACCTTCAATTCATCCTCATTTTCATCTTCATATTCACCTTCATGTTCATATTCGTATTCACATTCCCATTCACATTCACATCCAACCCACATCCACATCCACACTCATATTCATATTCACATTCACATTTACATCTACATTCATATTCATATTCATATTCGCATTCATATTCACATTTATATTCATATTCATATTCATATTCGCATTCATATTCACATTCATATTCATATTTATCTTTATATTCACCTTTCTTTCTTTCTCTCAACCGCTTTTTACTTTCCTTTATTGAGCTTATGTTGGTTTTTATAAGTGTTAGTAAATGAACAAATTGAAACTGTTTTTGATTTTAATTGTTAATAATTGATAATTAACCATCATATTTTTCTTCAATTAAATATTTTGAAATTAGATCAACATTTTTAATTGTAAAGGCACGCTAATATCGGCCACAGGAGGGTAACTCGGTCTAGTTGAAGGATAAAAAGATATGGAGGAAGGGAAAAATTGAATCGATGAGGAGAGGCAATTTTGGATTTTATGTTTGTTAATTTTTATCTAGGTAGTTGTTAAGCATATAAATAAACTCATTGACAATATGTTAAAATTTACTTTAATTGTAATTATTTGTCATCGATATCATTTTTTTCTCTGCATCATGATCATATGATCATGTCATTATTATAATACTAGCTCTTTTACATCCCTTGGCATGGAAGGCAGAAGATCTATAGCATGGTACGGTAAACGACGGCGACGGATTGAGATGGTGAAGCGGGTTAAGCCTTTTTATATATATTATTAGAACAGTGGTAGTATCATTAGTTAATATAAAAAACTTTTAATAGAAAATATTGATTAAATTGTTAAATATTAGCAATAATTTAGTTGTAGTTTTAGTTTTAGTTGTAATTGTATTTATAGTTGTAGCTGTAGTTTTAATTTATTTATAATTTGATTAATGCATTTTTCTTAATGGTTTTAATCCGCTTCTCAAAAAACCATCCTTGGACGTGGTTATCAGATTGGGTTGGCCACGTCAATACCATTGCGATTGGAAGGGCATGGTACAGTTCTTTTTTTTTATTTTTAATATTTATAAAATTGTATAAATTAATAAGATGTTTAAAAAATAATTATAATTCGTTGATATGAGCAAAATATACAAACAGGTATTTACAGATTTAACCATTATTACTAAATGATTGACTACTACTAGTAAGTAATCGGACGGAACTTTATCCATATAATATTTTCTGCAATATGATGGATGATTCGGCATTTATTGTGATTGACATTCAGGTTAATAAAAAATAAAATTATTAATATAATTATATGATTAATAAAATGCATAAAGGGTTTCATGCATCAATGAAAAATAATAAAGTTAAAGAATTCGTGTCCGATAATCATTGATTCCTGTTATTTTGACACACTAGATTTATTTATGTGTACAAATTAAAAAATGTTTATTAAAAGTTGAAGATATGGTGGCAAATTCTGAAATAATTGCAATCTTACATTCAGATAAATAACTGCAATGAATATAAAATAACCAAATGTTAATTAGCGAGATTCATATTCGTTTGTTAAATTAGCAAAATACGACTAGTGTATAAAACAGGACTTAATTCTTTGTTAATGTTAAATTACAAAAGTAAAAAAATTATTAATTAATTCCTTCTTGGGCGCATACAAGTAATAATAAATGATGGATACTAATTATTAATCTATTACTATTTTTGTTTTTCTGCATGCATTGTTTTAATCAATCAATTAATAAAATTAATAATAATTGTATAGAATTTTGGATTTGCTAACTTTAAAGATGTCGTAATAATCAAGTTTCAAGAAATCTTTTATAATCCTTTTAAATCTTTTGATTTTGTGATTCATTTCAATGCATTGTACTTTTCTTTACTCATTTATCGTCTTCCATCATACCATATTTATTTAATTATCTGCATTTGTTATATTAATTATACATTAATTAATATAGACATGATTGTTATACCATCATTATTATGTTGTCTATTATATAACGATTAAAATTGTCATAAAGATATTACTATTATTACCAACCACAAGATATGTCACAGGAAGCGTAATTTACGCTTCCAACGTAATTCGTTTTACGTAACAATTCGTTTGACTGCTAAATTATTGCTTTTTTTTTATAATTTGCGAAAATAAGTCTTACTGTTAATATATATGTATGTAGGAAGACTAGTACCTTATTAGGAATAATTAGCAACTGATGATGTCAACAGCAATGCATATCCTAAATTCAGCCGTTTTCCCTTTTCTTCCTCAAATTTGCCCCTTATAACAGAAACATGCATATAAGAAAAAAAGGGCACAAGTTAATTAACATTCCCTTAAACGGATGGATAGATGAAAACGACAGATAAACAGGGTGGATGGGAGATTTGCCTTTCTTACAAACCAGCTACGCGATGAATGTCATTTCCATGATCCTCCAACACCTTTTGAACTTTTCGTTTTGGAAACACAGAATAAGTTTTATTGTTTTCAAAGTCTCATTCATTAGCACTTGACGAATTTTACACAAGCGCGACAAACTTCCAACAAATTTCTACCCATCATCACATGTTTAAAATAAAAAAATTTTCTGGACAAAAGATTCTGTTGAATCGTGCATTATATGCACAGCGCACTATATCACCGCCAAGTTAAGCGAATGATGTTAATGTTAATTCAAAGACGATTGTTGAAAAACGCTGTTTAGAAATGATATACGGTCGCACCTCCGTATAATAATAAGGACCCTCCATGTAAGGACATCATATATAACCTCAATATAAGAATATATATGTATTTTGGGAATGTCGTATGTGAAAATTGAAATACTTTCATCCAAGAACAACCTTTCTATAAGAACATTTTTGAGTATTAGAGGATCATACCAATAAAGGGAATTTAATTGTCTCAACCTGTTGATGATGAGATTTAGATTTTGTGCAACAATTATAATGCATATCCTAAATTGGGTAATTTTCCAAATCTGCAGGACGCCGTAAATCACATGATTTATGGCGCTCCTCTTAATTAATTAAATTAATTAAATTAATGATACTAATTAAACCAATTAAAAAAGATCCTTAAATAATTATGGATGGATTACAAGTATTTGGAACTTCCATATATGGAAAGCGCCAAGTTCATGAGGCTATCTGCTGTCCTCGTATCCAATAAACAATAAATGATCCTAAATAATTTTCTATTTTATAAAATAATATTCCAATTTTTTTAAAAAAATCTCAAATGTCAATATCATTATTACCCATTTCCACACCTCCCCTTCCTCCTTCCACTTTTACCATATCCACAGATAACATTATCAATGAAGAAAATACACATGATGTAAAAATATATATCGGAAAAGAACCAAACATACAGTTATTTACGGCAGATTCTAAAGTTTTAAAAGCTCATTCAACATATTTTAGTATTGCTTTATCAAGTAATTGGGTAAAAAAATCTGATGAAGGTTGGATGATAATAAATTTACCTGATATTTCACCCGATATATTCAACAATATATTAAAGTAAGTACAGGGAGGAGGGTTTTTTAGAACAAAAATATTCATTCGTTTATATTTATTCACTCATTAATTCATTTTCTTATTTTAAATTCGTAGTTACTTATATAGCGGTAAAATGAATTATTACAAAGATTCATTGGATGATGTCTATAGTTGTCTAAAAAGAATAAAAGCAGCCGATGAATTAGCTTTAGACGATTATTTACAACACGAACAAAATTTTTTGATAAATTATCGATCAGAATGGATACGACTAAATTTCATTAAAGTCTACGAGCTTACTTTAGAATTACCAGCTTTAACAATTTTAAAAAATTTTTTATTAAGCTTATTATGTTATCAACCAAAATTAATGTTTAATAGTGCTAGCTACATAAAATATTTGGATCGGGATGGTTTGATTTGGTTATTGAAAAAAGATAATTTACAAATGGAAGAGATTGACATTTGGGATAATGTAATTTTATGGGGAATGATTAAATGTAAAAAAATATCATCATCGTCACTGCTGTCGACACCTTTATCATATGCTACTATTATCAAAAAGAAAATTAAAAGTTGGTCAAACAATGATTGGAATATTTTGTATGAAACATTAAAGGATATGATCCATCTAATTAGAATAAATAATATTTCAACAGAAGATTACAAACGAAAAGTTAAACCTTTTGAAAACTTGTTTTTAACCAATAACAATTCAAGTGAATTTTTATTATCATCCATAAGGAAGAATTACAGAGAAGAAGACATTAATATTTTCGACGCTACAATTAATTCTTCCAACAACGCTACTAATACTTCTAATACTTTTAATAATACTACTACATTATCACCAACACCTTCAATACATATACCATCATCATATATAATAAGTCATTATAGACGAAGTGTAATAATAGATTCAACAATAATTAATATATCACATGTGGGAATAATTGCTAATTGGATAAAAGGGCATTCGTTGAAATTGGATGAACTACGTAAGATCTATGATAACCCAATACCAATACCATTCTATTTTAAACTATTAATACGTGGTAGTAGAGATGGCTTTTCATCTGAGATATTTCATAAATGGTGTGACGATTATGGTGCGCCAACATTGATAATTATCAAATTAAAGAATTCTTTACAGATAATAGGCGGGTTCAATTATTCCAGCTGGAAATCACCTTTTTTGATCTTTTCAACATTTCAACATGACAGACATGCATTTATATTTTCGTTATGCAACACATATGGCAACAAGGATAATTTTAAATTGGCCAGGCCGAAAAGAACTTTGATTAATGATGGTTGGAAAGCATTGAAGTTCAGTAGATATGCCGGTCCTTGTTTTGGTAAAAGTGATTTACAACTAAGAAGCAATAAGACCTGTTATTGTAAACAACATGATTATGATGATTCTATCACTGATAAATTTGGTGTTTTTGAAATCGATGATTATGAAGTATTCAGGGTTGGTTTTAGTTAAATGTTTAGATAATTAATTTATTATGGATTGAGATATTTTGAATTGAAATGTTTGAAGAATTTTTTATTTAAATAATTTCAGAAAATAATTTGTATATAGCTGTTAATAATAATAATAATAATAATAATAATAATAATAATAATAATAATAACAATAATCTAAATTTTTCAATAAAGAAAAAACGGAATTTTTTTGTTCCAATACTAATACCACAACAAATTATCAACGAATTAAAAATTATTATAAAAATAATTTATTACTACTATGATATGCCCTCCATTCGCAATGAAATAATGAATGATGAATATGAAATATCATAATATTATATTGATTATATATGTAAATTAGCAGGCCCTCTAATTCTCATGTGATATGCCCTTAAATATGTACAGCACAAAAAGAGTTTTATTTACGTTAACTATTAATACAGTAATATACAAAAACATCTAATCTTTTTAAATAATAAATTAATAAAATCAATAATACTAAAGGTTATTATTATTATTAGAATAATAATAAAAATCAATATTTTTATAATTGGTAACTTTAACAAAATCATTACTAATACTACTACTAATATTACAAACTGGAACTTTTAATTGATCACCAAATTCATTAAGCATCCATAATAGTACACCATTTGTCCATCCAAACCCTGTTTGTACTTTATATTCTATAAATGATAAATAATAAGTGAGATTATTATAAATTTCTAAAGGGAGGAAAAAAAAAATAGTATAGTATAGAAAAATAGTTACCTCCACCACCACCTGGAACATTTCGAGTAAGTGTATTATATTCTAAATAATAAATGATGGATGAGAATAGATAAATAACGGTAATAAATTAAAATAGAAAAAAGCATAATGATCTAGATTTAAAAATACCCACTTTCAAAAATATGTCCGTCATCAGTAGTATTTTCTAACTTTGGTAGTAAATCTTTAATTGATCCACCAGTAATATACCAAGCACAAAATACCGAAGAAACAAATCGTTGACTTATTGAACTTGCCAAATCATAATATTTGTCAAGACCATTGCTGCTACGATTATTGGCATTAAAAGGATAGTATTTATCGCTCAATTGAACCAAACCTTTTACAACCACATATTCTAATGGTGGCCAACTATTTGGGAAATCCCATTGTAGACCGGAATCCATCAATGTGGATGTCAGTGAGCCTGGATATTTTCCCAATAGTTTCTTAATGTAGTCATATGATTTTAGTATTTTGAAAGGGTTTGAACTTAGTTCAGCTGGTATTGCGCCTGCCCTATATTATTAATTAATAACAATAATGTTATTATTATCATTAATCAAAGATTCTATGAAATTATGAAATTATTGTAAGAAATATGGATATTTATGAGGTGGTGAGATTAGATATGACAAAATCATTCATCAGATCAGACTATATAATAATACTATTAATAATAATATTATCAACATAATCTTAGTAACATCATCAATATCTCTTTCTCATTATCAAAATAATTACCAGAATGGAAAGTAGGAAGCCAAGGTAGTTACTTCAGATCTTTTATTACTTGTTAGATTAAAATCCATAAATAAATTAAGCTCATCATCCCAAAACAATTCTTTGATAGCATCTAATCTATTTCTAGCTTTCTTTCTGAATGCTAAAGACAAGCTATTATTATCATCGTCATCATCATCTTTAGCAAGCTCATCATTTAAATCTGCCAAAGTGATTTCATTCATGTACAAAATTGAATTCAAATCCACGGGTATGATTGATTTTGTATTCAACGAACGTAAAATTGGAAAATCGGTAATATTGTTTGAATCGGTGGTTGGCTTGAGGCGATAATTATTGGCCCATCTTGAAGAAAAATCCCAACCAGTTTCTGCAGCGGCGGCAATGTTTGAGTAGAGTTCAATAATAGCCGATTCATTTAGTTTATTTTTCCTATCATCGTTATTGTTTTCTTGTAGGTGCACATTTAATAAGCTTTGTGGTTGTTGGGCGGTCACGTAGTCTTCCCAGTAACTTTCAGGTCTAGGTTGATCAGTGTAGACATTGTAATAATTTAGAGTGTATCGTTTGTTTTGACGATTGATTCCAATTGTTTTGTTGCGATGCCAGAAATTGTATTCTTTGATTAGTGTTGGCAAAGCTCTTTTTAGAAATTGTTTATCTTTTGTTGTTTCATAATATCTCTTTACCATTTGAGTTAATAATGGTGGCTGTGACCGATTCAAATAATAAATCCTTGAACCGTTTGCTATTATTATTATAGTAAATAGCAACAATGCATAAATTATATAGTTGTAAATAAATAAATTTTTTAGATTACATTACATTACATTATATTATTATATTTGTTTGACACTTACGAATAAATCCATAGGTCTCCACAAGTATTAGATAATTTTCAATCATGCCTTTGGCCAAATCATACAACTCACTAAGCAACAATCCCTCGATGATGAAATACCCGTCCCAATAATAAATTTCACGAAACCTTCCACCCGGGATAACGAATGGATTCTTCAATGGAATGAAACTTGAGACACAACCATCACACATAAATGACAAATCTACTTTTCTAACCAAAGTTTTCCATAATTTGTGAACAATTTCACCAAACGGTTTCAAATACGGGTCATGAATATTTTTTAGAAAGCCCGGCTTTGAATTTAAAGGAAATAAAGAAGAAAACGGAGAGGTGGAAGTACAATGTTTATCATCATAGTTTTCTGGACTGAGTAATTCTTGACCTTCTTTATCAAAATAAGTCGATAAAAATGATATTACTTCTGATCTTGTTGGAGGATTTTGTTTGTTTTGAGTTAATAATTTTTGGACAGCTTGTAGTACTTCAGCTACAGGTTTTTTCGTGGGCTGTTTGATGTCGATACATACATAACACACATTAGAATGATGATGTAATAATTGAAAATTTCTCATACTAAACATTTATAGGAGGATTTACCATGTCAACAAAAGTTTTAGAATCATCAAAAATTCTCGATAATTGAACTAATTTTAACAGCTCTCCATTACAATAAATTGTTGAATTACAACCTCCAAATTCCTCATCATTATAATAATTATTATTTGAAAAAAAGGATTGTTGTGTGAATTTTTGTTCACTATGGAAATTGTATTTAATGGATTCAACGAATTGAATCAACACTGCTGCTACTATTATTATTAATAGCGAAATTGATTTTCTCATAATTTCAAATTTACAAAAGTTAAATTTAAAGATGAGTGAGCGAACTTGGAAACTTTAAATTAGGTTTTTTCATGGAAAATTATTACTTATTACAGAGAGATCCATTCATTGATTGAATCAAAACCTTATTTATTGTGTAATTTTGTATTTCATTGTATTCTGTACACAATAATAATAAATTATAAACAAAGAACTTGTAAATTAAATAAGGTTTAATCAAAAACAATTGATTGATTGATTGAAAGATAATGATTTGACTGAAATTCGATCTTTAAATAATAAATTAAACTTGTTTGTTCCTAGTAATCCAATCATCCAATTCTCTTTTAGTGATTGGAAAACCTTTCTCGGCTCTAATAAGCATTTCATTTTTTAATCCACCATCTTCAAACAATCTGGTAATATATTGAATGTGATTCTGTTGTTGATCATTGCCTGAAATTAGTTTAAATTTTTCTAGCCAACAACAAAAGATAATCAATCAATCAATCAATTAATTATATTAAAAAGGTGAAATGGCAATCGAAATAGATTAAAACCTTGGTCAGACTCCAAGATCTTCAAATCGATTTTATCTGTGTTTGTCCAAACTATAGAATAGAAATTTTTTGGATCATTGAATACAATTTCTATGTTTTTGCATTCGTCAACTTGAATGGTTTGAATTTTCTCATGGATCTTTTTTTTACATACAAGAAAATAAATTTAACATTTTTGTCAATTGAATGAATAATCAACTGATAATAGTGTTCGTTCGTTCACACCTTCAAAATGATATTATTAGACTTCCAAACATCAATTGTCGATGTAAGAATTTTAGAGTTTGCATTCAATACCAAATTATCACAATCCTCTGGTAATAGATAATAGATAAAATTAGTAAATTAATCAATCAAATCAATCAACCAATTAAATCGGGATCTCACCAATCATAATTTTAGTACAAGCAGAATCAATCATATATTCAATATCTTTACATGATTTCAAAAATATTGTGCTGGCTGAAGCAATTGAATCAATCTTTTTAACTTGTGAACTTTCATTAATCTAATGTTAATGTTAATGTTAATGTTAATGTTAATGTTAATGTTAATGTTAATATAAATCTCATCAATGCCATAAATTAAAAAAAAATTACATTTACATAAAACTTCCTATTTTTTAATAGATTTCCAACTAACATAGGAGTTGTTTGTGGTAATTCACTTTTGCTTGATTGATTTTGATTTTTATTTTCCTTTGACATTTTTTATTTTTTTTCGTCTTTTTTTTTTTGTCAATTTTATATCATAGAGAAAAAAAACACCAAGACTTTTACTATTATTATTATCATCATTATCATTATTATTATGAATTATTGTGTTATTATTGTGCGAGTGTAATAATAATATGCATAATCTAAAATGTACTGGTTTTTTATTTTCGAAATTTCTGGTGAAACAAATATTATGACATGTAGCTAGCTTTGGCACTTGGCGAGTCTTATGTTCAAAATATTCTATTCTCCAAGACATTATTATAATTTTGCTTAGCGAATTTCTTTTCTGTGCATAATAATAATAAATTAATTGATGGTAATACAAATTCTTATTCGATTATTCCATTTATATTATTAATTCACGGCTTGACGCAATAAATAAATTATATACTATCGTTTTTGTTATTGTCAAGGGATTTTACTATTTTATTTCATTTAACAAGATAATATAATCTATATATTACTACTACTAAAGAAAATGAAAATGTCAGTGAAATTAAATTCGATCGCATTATTAATCACAAAAATCAATTTAATCACATTTTCAAGCGCGTCTCTTGCCTTTTGCCTGCTGCATCCTTACACCCGTTCTATTTTGAATTGAATAATCTTTTCCATTTCACTTACGAGCCTTATGTTTCATATATTGAAGGATGAAATTCACGAACGAAATCAATTCAACTGATGAAATCAATGAACAATTAATATAATATTAAAATGTAAAATTATATAATAGACATACTAAACTTACTTTCTCATGGGCAATTCGCCAGTCAATGATTGAATTAAGCTGATCAAATTAATTCATGTTTGGGTCTTCTTGAACTTGATGTTGGTATAGTGTTGTTGTTTTGTGAATTCAAATATAAAAATTGAAAAAAAAAATTTTGATATAATGTAAAATAGTAAATATATAATACTGTCTATATTTTGATTGCAAATGAAAAAGTCTTTGATAATTTATCCCAAATACAGCGAAATAGCAATGTTATGCCTGATTGTAATAAAATAATATGACAGGAGTCATATAGATATCCGCCATGTTGTCGCCTTTTCTAAATGATGGATGAAAAATATGGTCTGTCCACCAACTAGCGTTTCTATCTGATAATAATGATAGTAATTAGGCTAATTAAAATATTTTTTCTTTCCTTCGTAGTCCTTGTATATAGTGATAATAATAATAAATAGCAATAACAAAAGTCATAACATACATATAACACAATATCGGTGTGCTGGGTGAATCATGCGGAAAAAACCTAGAGGCATTGGAGCTTATGATCATTTTTCATCTTCGTTAGTAGTATCTCGGCCATAAGCAAAAAAGACAGAAATCATTGTTAGTAAAGCCTTAGACAAAATCAATCATCAATCATCGAAACAGGTTGTTGATTACAAAAAGCCGGCTGTCTCTTGATAACAACTTGCCATTACTGGCTTCCAACAGGCCTAACCCTGGCATCAGGAAAATGGGTACAAATATTATGCATATATAATACGCAATTGCAGGGATTAAGCATATAATATATGTACAATTTGCATACATAAAAAATACGCGATTTGTACGCATATTATATGCTTAATCCCTGCAATTGTGTATTATATATGCATAATATTTGTACCCATTTTCCTGATGCCAGTAAACAACTTTCTTTAGTAGTATTAAGTGTTACTATAAATGGCTCAATATCTTGGGGAGTAAAATTAGATAATGTTGAACTTACAATAGATGAGATAACTGCCAATAATCTCAAAGAGTTATACTATACCAAAAACCTTGTTGAAGGTATTCCTGATGAAAAATCAATGCCTAAATTGGAGAAGAAAGGTGAGTAAAGAATGATGAAGGTATAGACATAAGATGCTATTTCATTGATGAAATTGATGTTCTTGGATTTCATAACACAGAAAGAATAGAAAAAATACTTGCTAATCCTAATGATTACTCTCTTGAAGATATTCTCAAGTTAGGCAAGAAAGAGTTAAAAGAAAAATTATTTGAACTAGCACAACAAAAAAATGAAGAAATAAGAAAACAAAAAGAAAAGGAGTTCATGGATGAATTAAGAAAGAAGTTTAATATAGATGAGGAAAGGAAATCTAACCAAAAAGAAGAGAAAGATGAAGTTCCTCCCTTAGAAAAAGATAGTGATTCTCCAAGTGAATAAGAAACTTCTCTTCCTACTCCTCAGGAATCACCAACATCAAAGGATAATAATAAAGATAAAAATGTTTATGAGTTTAATGAAGAGCAAAAGGCCTTTTCTCTTTCTGATTTATAATAATAATAATAATAATAATAATAATAATAATAAAGCTGAATTAAAAACCTTTTTATCTCATTCTGAACTTAAACAAATAATTGCTGAGAAAAAGCAAGAACAATTACCATCAACCAACCCAACCAATTACTTACCTTACATTTTGGGTAGAGGTTGGCACCACGCAAAAATTCTTTAACTGGTTAATTAACCGTTAAAATTAAGAGTTAACCAGTTAACCAGTTAATTTAGTCACATGGAATTTTTTAACTGGTAAATTCAACCATTCTTTACTTACAAAATAATCATGTGTCTGTTGAATTTTATTATTATACATTTAATGATTACAGTCAAACCTTGCCACTGCGGATTCATGGTTCCAGCCAAAAAAATCTGTTATTATTATTATTATTATTATTATGTCAAGAAATCTGCAGCAGCAAAATTGGTAATAATACAAAGCTCTCTCTCTATACCGAACCCTCTGTCCATTATATGCATTTTTCTGCTTTTGTTCATTATAGGGAGAAATTAATTATAAAAAATTGAATCGGAGACGGGCGACAAAAGGGAAATTCGTTATAGAGAAATTTACTTAGTGTTCGTTATAGAGAGGTTTGGTATAGTGCAATAAATTAATAAACTAAATACAGAAATAAATAAATGAATAAATGAATAATACATACGGAAATGAAAATTATTTGTTGAAATAAGATGTAATATTTGGTTGTATTATCTAATAATTTCACTTTTTTCAATGGTTTAAATGCTTTAAATTCTTTACAATCTATTTCTAAATCACTTTGTTGAAGAAAATTAAAAGCTATCTCAAAGGAAATTACGGCATCTTTCGTTGAAACTTTAGACATAGTGTTATTCTCAACAACTATTATATTATTAACATCATTTTGAAATCTCTTCGACTATATTTCTTGAATTTCTAATTTCATTATTAGATATTTCATTTCCAAAGGGAGAATTGCAGTTTTCCTCTATCAATTTTGGTAATTTGGACATTTATATGACACGTGAATCTGCTGTAATATAGAAAGACCCCATCAAAAATCTGTGGAACAAATTTATTATTAGTAGTGAATCCGTTATTATTATGACAAACGTTTTAATTAATGTTAATAAGGGGACAATACTTAAATCTGTTGTAACAAGAAATGTGTTGTGGCAAGGTCCGCTGTGACGAAGTTTGACTAATATATAAAAAAAAATTAATAAATGGTGGTTAACCGGTTAATTTAACTGGTTAATTTTAACTGGTTAATAAAGAATTAACCGGTTAAACGGTTAACGGTGCCGACCCCTAAGTAAAAATCAATCTTCATATCAAATAGTATAATATACTGAGGTTTCGCCCCATATAAATAACAACTTAAAAAATAAAAAAGAATTTTTTAAAAATCTTCATCTTTGAATATCGACCACAATAGCAAGTTCTAGAGATGGGCAAATGGCGTACAATTGAACACTATACGATACTTTACGTATAGTAGTGTTGAAATTTGATAGGGTGATTTTCAAATAATAAGAAAAAAAAATAATTTGGCTATTACAATAAGCATAAATCTTTAATTTATTCAACCTACACTTTTTTAGGTTTTATTTAT